CTGCAGTTAGACATGAAGAAAATATAAAAGGAATCCAAATTGGAAAGGAGGAAGTGAAACTCATTATTTGCAGATGACATGATACTATACATAGAAAACCCTAAAGACTCCATAAAAAATCTACTAGAGTTAATAAATGAATTTGACAAAGTAGCAGGATACAAAATTAACATCAAGAAATGGACAGCATTCTTCTACACCACCAACAAACTCACAGAAAGGGAAACTAAAAAAGCAATTTTGTTTACCATTGTGGCAAAAAAATTAAGATACCTAGGAGTAAACTTTTTATTAAAAATTTTTTTTTCTTCATTGATTTTAGAGAGAGAGAAAGGGAGAGAGAGAGAGAGATAGCAACATTGATGAGAGAGAACATCCATTGGCCACTTCCTGCATGCCCTGCACTGGGTATTTGGCCCAGAACCTGGGCATGTGCCCTGAACGGAAATCGAACCAGGTGACATCTTGGTGCATGAGTCGACACTCAACCACTGAGCCACACTGGCCTGGCCCTAGGAATAAACTTAACCAAAGAAGTAAAGGGTCTATTTTCAGAAAACTACAGGTCATTGAAAAAAGAAATAGTGGAAGATATAAAAAAGTGGAAGCATATACGTTGTTCATAGATTGGAAGAATTAACATCATTAAAATGTCCGTACTACCCAAAGCAGTCCATAGATTTAATGCAATCCCCATTCAAAATAACAGTGACATATTTCACAGAACTAGAACAAATACTCCAAAAGTTTATATGGAACCAAGAAAGACCCTGAATAGCTACAGGAATCCTGAAAAAGAACAAAGTAGGAGGGATTACAATACCAGATATCAGGTTATACTACAAAGCCATAGTAATCAAAACAGCCTGGTACTGGCATAGGAACAGGCATATAGATCAATGGAACAGAATAGAGAACCTAGAAATTGACCCAAGTCATTATGCTCAATTAATATTTGACAAAAGTGGAAGAGCATACAGTGGAGTAAAGACAGCCTCTTTAACAAATGGTGTTGGGAAAATTAGACAGCTACATGCAAAAAAAAATGAAGCTATACCACCAAACACAAGAATAAACTCAAAAGGGATCAAAGATTTAAATGTGACTTGTGAATACATAAAAATCCTAGAAGAAAATGTAGGCAACAAAATTTTAGACATCACACGCAGCAGAATTTTCACTGATACAACCCTAAGGGCAAGAGAAATAAGGAAAATATGAACACATGGGACTACACCAAACTAAAAGCTTCTGTGCAGCAAAAGAAACAAGCATCAAAATGGAAAGGGAACCTGTTATATGGGAGAGCATAATTGCCAATGATACATCAGATAAGGGGCTAATTTCCAAAATATATAGAGTGCTCATACAACTCAACAAAAGGAAAACAAAGAACCCGATTGAAAAATGGGCAGAGGACCTAAAGAGGCACCTTTCCAAACAGGACATACAAATGGCCAAGAAACATGAAAAAATGCTCAACATCATTAATCATCAGAGAGATGCAAATTAAAACGACTATGAGGTATCACCTCACACCTGCCAGAATGGCGACCATCAACCAATCTTCAAACAACAAGTGCTGATGAGGGTGTAGAGAAAAGGGGACTCTAGTACACTGCTGGTGGGAATGCATACTGTTGCAGCCACTATGGAAAACAATATGGTGTTACCTCAAAAAATTAAAAATTGAACTTCCATTTGACCCAGTGATCCCACTTCTAGGAATATATCCTAAGAAGCCTGAAACACCAATCAGAAAGAATATATGTACCCCTATGCTCAGAGCAGCACTATTTACAATTGCTAAGATCTGGAAACAGCCCAAGTATCCATCAATAGAAGAATGGATAAAAAAGCTGGGTACATATACACAATGGAATATTATGCAGTTGTAAGAAAGAAAGATCTTTTATCCTTTGAGGTGACATGGAGGGACCTCAGGAGTATTATCTTAAGCGAAACAAGCCAAGTAGAGAAAGACAAATATCACATGATCTCACTTATTTGTGGAATATAATGAACAAAACAAGCTGAGAAACAAAATAGACCCAGAGACGTGGAAGTAGGGTGCAGACTGACAAACCTCACAAGAGGTGGAGTGGGGGAGGGAAAAGATAAACCACAGAACTTATATTCATGTATGCGTAAACAAGGACAAGGACAGTGCTGGGGCAGAGGGCGGGATTGGGAGGAGGGTGTCAGTGGGGTAAAAGGAGAAACATCTGTAACAAAAATAAATAAACATTTAAAAAATTCAGACAAAAGATAAATAAAAGTGAAAGGTGATCACAGGCCCTGGCCAGTTTGGCTCAGCGGTTGGAGCGTCAGCCCATGGACCAGAACCTGGGTTCGGTTCCCACTAAGGGCGTGTACCTTGCTTGCAGTTTGTCCCCAGCCCCGGTTGGGGTTGTGTGGGTGGCAACCAGTTGATGTGTCTTTCTCACATTGATGTTTCTCTCTCTCTTCCCCCCTCTCTCCCTCCTGCTTTATCTGAATATAAATGCAAAAAATGTCCTCTGGTGAGGATAAAAAAAAAAAAGAAAAAGAAAGGTGATCACGGGGATGTAAAGTACAATGTAAGGGACACAGTCAATAATATTGTGATAACTGTATGCCATCAGATGGGAAATAGACTTATTGGGGTGATCACTTTATAAGTTATATAAATGTATAAACATTATATTGTACACCTGAAACTAATATAATATTGTATTATCAACTGTAATTAAAAATAAAAAGTTTTAAATGTAAAAAAAAAGTGAAAATTTTTCAGCAGGTTCTTCATCTTGTCCTATCAGTCAGTTTATGTTTTCCTTGGTTCTTCTTCAAACTCACATTAGTTTATGTTCAAGGCTTGAAATATCTGTATTTTCCTTTTATATTGTTATTTGTAAATTATATTCTCCAGTATTTTTTCTCCAAATGAATTTTCTAAAATGTTACATTAAATAGCTAAAAAATAAAATATTAAACCTGCCCTGGCCAGTTTGGCTCAGTGGTTAGAGCGTCGGCTTGCAGTCCAGAAAGACCCGGGTTCAGTTTCCACCTGGTTGGTGGTGCGGGGGGCAGCCACTTGATGTGTCCCTTTCATGTCGATGTTTCTCTCTCTCTCTCTCTGTTCCTCTCTCTCCCTCCCACTCTACCTGAACAAAAAATGGGAAAATGTCCTCGGGTGAGGATAAAATAAATAAATAAATTAATTAATTAAACCTGGCTATATTTTATAATGTGTTTGGAAATCTAATTCTTTTTTTTTTTTTTTTATCCTCACCCGAGGACATTTTTCCATTTTTTGTACAGATAGAGTGGGAGGGAGAGAGAGAGAGAAACATCGACGTGAAAGGGACACATCAAGTGGCTGCCACCTGTACGACCAACCAGGGCCGGGGACAAACTGCAACCGAAATACATGCCCTTAGCGGGAACTGAACCTGGGTCTCTCTGGACCGCAGGCCAACGCTCTAACCGCTGAGCCAAACCGGCCAGGGCATGGAAATCTAATTCTTTTCCTGTTAATTTCCTGGTCTCATTTAACAGAAATGTCTGTGAAGATATTATCTACTTTATGGATTGAGAGATACAGCGTTTGCTGTTGGGAATATTAATATAACGGGGGGAGGGGAATCCTGTCCCCAAGGAATTTGGAATCTAGCAAAAGAGAAAGATTTGTAAATAACTGATCAAAAAAAGAATGAGTTGAAAGCTCCCCCAGAGGAACAAGCAACTGACCTGTTCAGGGGGGAGGTGTGCAGACCTGGTATGAAGAACATTGCCTGGGGAGGTGAGGCTTGAATTGAGTAGGATTCTTAAGGAAGGTGCCAGGGGGCAATAGGGTGGAGTGACTACTGCTAGATCAAGGTGTAGAGGTGTGATAGCCCATAACGCAGTCCTCTGCAGAATGTGGTCCCTGCTCCCATCCTTCAATGCAAAATTGCTGTGGCGCTGCCAAGCAGGTGGGGGGATTCCAGTGATCCTACCACATTTTCCCCCCTTTCTTGGCAGCTGCAATTCACTGCTTATTTCCCCCTGTATCTTTCAGACACTGTGGAGGGACTGACCGTAATGTGCTGCAGACACCTAGTAATAGAATCCCCAAGTTCCCTTTTTACTTAACCTACTCAGTGTTTTAGGACCAGACTTGTACACACAATTGATGTATACTTTGGCCCCTTTTTCTTTTACAGACTGTAATTTTTTTTTTTATCCTCACCCGAGGAGGACATTTTTCCATTTTTTTGTTCAGATAGAGTGGAAGGTAGAGAGAGAGAGATAGAAACATCAACATGAAAGGGACACATCGAGTGGTTGCCACCCGCACGACCCAACCAGGGCCGGGGACAAACTGCAACCGAGGTACATGCCCTTAGCGGGAACCAAACGCGGGTGTCACTGGACCACAGTCCGAAGCTCTAACCGCTGAGCCAAACCGGCCAGGGCTAGACTGTAATTCTTTATCCTTGATTTAATCTGGAGGCCAGCCACAATGAATTTTGCTTATTAACTACATTTTTCTGTTGAACAGAATTTGTAATTTTCAGTGATGTAATATTTTGAAGATTGGAAATCTCTGATGTCTACATACTACCTTACCGTGGTTGGCAGGGTGGTTCACATAGTTGAAATACTGGTATGTGTTATTGTTTAGGGCTCTGCATGGTGTTTCTTTCTTTTCTTTTTCCCTTAATTGTCTTTTTTTTTTTGTTTTTAAGAGAGCAAGAGGAAGGGAAAGGGAGAGATAGAAACAGTCGGCTGTCTCCTGCACTCCCCCTGCTGGGATTGAGCTCAAAACCTGGGCATGTGCCATGACGGCATTGAACTGATGACCTTTTGGTCCCTGAAACGATGCCCAACCAACTGAGTCACACCAGCCAGTCCATGGTGTTTCTTTTTTGTGTGATTTGTATTCTAGGGGTTAAGGAATTAATCTGTTGCTTCTCTTGGCAATGAAAAAAATTCTGATTTTCCTAAAATTATATATTTTTTGTTTTGTTTTTTAGGATATGATACTCACTTTCATGATAAGAAAATTCTATTGCTAGAAGCAGGTCCAAAGAAAGTATTGGAGAAATTGCCAGAAACTTACAGCAACAGGGTCAGCTCCATTTCCCCTGGCTCTGCAACCCTTCTCAGTAGTGAGTAGAACATCCTCTCTCATAAAACCCATCTCCTGCCTCTTGGCTTTCCGATGTGCCCCAGAGGCAGAGTCACCAGGGCGTCTGGTGCGGAGGGAGCTCACTGAGGTGGGTGGGAGAGGGGCTGTGGGTTGGCAGTCTGGTGCATACATGAAGATGAGGACCTCTGACATTGTTAATGGGTCAGTTCCAGTAGCAGCATCCTCTTCATTCCTCGAGTCAGCCCTCTAGGGAGCTAGGGGCCTGCATAATAAATGCCTTTGGGGTGAAGAAGGATGTATGCACACAGAACTAGTCGTCAGCAAATTGTCTTTAGGTCTTTGCCAGATGTTACTCCCTCAGGCCGTCCTATCTAAAATTAGACTCTTGCATCACTCTCTAGCCCTTTATACTGCTTCATTTTTATTCATAACACTTACTGCTACCTGACATTATATTATGTACTTGTTTTTTTTTTTCATATATATTTTTTCTTTATTGGTTTTAGAGAGAGAGGAAGAAAGAGGGAGAGGGAGATAGAAACATCAATGAGAGAGAACATTGATTGGCTGCCTCCTGCATGCCCTCCATTGGGGATCGGGCCCACAACCTGGGCATGTGTCCTGACCGGGAATCAAACTGGTGACCTCTTGGTGCATGGGTCAGTGCTCAACCACTAAGCCACACTGGCTGGACTATGTACTTGTTTTTTATTACAAATAGTAAACTAGAACATTAGCTACAGAAGAGTGGGGGCTTTGTTCATTTGGTCTTCCACTTTTTGCTCAGTACCTAGAATTGTATCGGCACATTGTGGGTGTTCTCAATATTTTTTCAATGAGCGAATCTCTTCAGTGCCATAGAGTTCAACAAAAAATAGTCTTTATCCAGAGTTTGGAACTTTAATAGGATGGCAAATTAAAAAGAACAATATGGTTTTGGTTTTCTTATTTAATTCCCCTACTTTAATTCGATTTGACCTGTTGATCATGAAAGCCAGGTCTTTTTCATACTGTGTAATCTGAATTGGGGAACAACAGTAGCTTAGCTCCTACCATCAAACAGGATAGAAGTGGGGAGTATTTCTCTATTATGGAGAACACTGAAAACAACCTCTAACTTAACAAGATGGAGGGACAAAGGGGAGCCCAGGAAGGATGCTCTGGTCTCTTATAGATTATTTCTTTTGTAGGTTTTGGTGCCTGGGACCACATCTGCAACATGAGATACAGAGCCTTTCGGCGAATGCAGGTGCCTCCTTTATCACTCTTGGCGAGGTGTCTTGGTCTGTCCTGGGTTAAGATATCGGAGTCCACATTCTCCAGGTTTTCTGTGAATGTGGGAAGAATTGGACAAAGTCCACACTCAGTCTAAGGAAGTGGGGGGAAAGCATTCCCAAGAGAATTTTCTTCTCTCCTTACATTCTGCCAGAGGGACTGACAAATTGTGATTTTTGTGCTTCTATCACTTGGGAAAGCAGTACTCAGTTTCCAATTGGAGTAATGTGTCCTTTTCCTTGGGCTCTAATACAGACGTCCCCTTTGCGTTCGCAGGTATGGGACGCCTGCTCAGAGGCCCTGATCATGTTCGACAAGGACAACTTGGAGGACATGGGCTATATAGTGGAGAACAATGTCATCATGCACGCTCTCACCAAGCAGCTGGAGGCTGTGTCAGGTGAGTCTCCCACCTCGTCCATCTGCCTTTCGTTCTCTGGAAGGTGAACCGCTTCAGAATTATTCTAGGACTTACTGGAAGAAAGGATCTTTTACAGATACTGAATGTCCACCATAAACAAACATTCTGAACTTATCTCAGGGTTTTTTTATTTTTTTCTTGTTTTTCTTGTACAGCTTTATTCAGGTATAATTTACATACCATAAAATTTACCCATTTTACATATACAATTCAATGATTTTTTTATATGAATTGTGCGACCATCATCACAATATTATTTTAGAATATTTTCATTACCTCAGAAGGAAACCTCGTGCCCATTTATAATACTCCCTGACCCCACCCCGAGCCCCTGGCACCCCTAGTCTACTTTCTGTCTTTTGGCATTTGCCTATTCTGGGCATTTCATACAAAAGTATTCTTTTGTGTTTGACTTCTCCCATTGAACTTATTTTTGAGATTTATTCATGTTGTAGCATGTATCAGTAGTCCATTCTCCTTTATTGCCAAATGTTTTCCATCACATGGATATATCATATTTTGTTTGTTCATTCGACAGCTGATGGACATGCGGGTTTCCACTTTTTGGTGATTGTGAATAACACTATGAACATTTGTGTACAAGCTTTTGTTTGGACATATGTTTTCCTTTCATCTGGTTGGATACTTAGGTGTAGAAGAGCTGGTTATATAATAATGCTGTTTAGTATTGTCATAAACTACCAAACTTTTTCAAAGAGGCTGCACCATTTTACTTTCTCACCACCAATACAAGGTGTGCAAATGTAGGTTTACAGTTGTGAGTACATGAAACAGAGTTTATTCTTGTACTACTGTTTTCCATACGAACAAGTATAAACCTATTTTTGCCCCTCCCTGTGTATAATGGTTCCCGTTTCTTCATATATTCACCAACACTCCCATAACCCCCCCTTTTAAAAAATATTTTTTCTTTATTGATTTTAGAGGGAGAGTGAGAGAAAGAACATGGATTGGCTGCCTCCTGCATGCCCCCCACTGGGGATCTGGCCCACAACCTGGGCATGTGCCCTGACTGGGAATTGACTGGTGACCTCTTGGTGCGTGGGTCAACGCTCAACCTGGTAGCCACATCGGCCGGGCCTCCATCCCTTTTATTAAAAATATGTTTTTATTGAGTTTTCAGAGAGAGAGAAAGGAAGAGAGAGATAGAAACATTGATGGGAGAGAGAAACATCGATTGACTGCCTCCTGCATGTGCCCACTGGGGATCAAGCCCGAATCCAGTCATGTGCCATGACCAGGAATGAAACTAGGACCTCTCAGTCCATGGGACGACACTCAGTCCACTAAGCCACACTGGCTGGGCCACTCCTGCCTTTTTAAATTGTATTTTCTTCCTTTTTTTATCCTTACTTGAGGATATTTTTCCATTTTTCTTCAGATAGAGTAGGAGGGAGGGAGAGAGAGAGAGGGAGAGAGAAAAAACATTGATGTGAGAGGGACACATCAACTGGTTGCTTCCCTCACAACCCCAACCAGGGCCGAGAACGAACTGAAACCGAGGTGTGTGCCCTTGACTGGAATTGAACCCGAGACTCATTGGTCCACGGGCTGATGCTCTCTAATCACTGTGCCAAATTGGCCAGGGCTAAATTGTATTTTTTAAAAATTATTGTTGAATGTATTACAGATGTTCCTCAGTTTTTTCCCCATTGACACCCCTCCTCCCCATTCCCGCCCCCCTCCTGCCTTTTCCCACACTGTTGTCTGTGTCCATTGGTTATGCATATATGCGTATAAGTTCTTTGGTTTATTTCTTCCCACCACCCCCCCCAACCCCTTTCCCTTTCAGGTTTGTCAGTCTAGCAACCAATTTGTACTTCTTAGATCCCTTCACCTTTTTCACCCATTCCTTCATCCCCCCTCCCATCTGGCAGCCAACAAAATGTTCTCTATATCTATGAGAATGTTTCTGTTCTGCTTGTTAATTTTGTTTGTAGATTCAATTGTTGATAGCTATGTATTCATTGCCATTTTGTTTGTTCATAATTTTTATCTTTTTCTTCAAGAAGACCCTTCAACATTTCATATAATAATGATTTGGTGGTGATGAACTCCTTTAGCTTTTCCTTGTCTGGGAAACTCTTTATATGGCCATCGATTCTAAATGACAGCTTTGCAGGATAGAGTAATCTTGGTTGTAGGTTCTTGCTTTTCATCACTCTGAATATTTCTTGCCACTCCCTTCTGGCCTGCAAAGTTTCTTTTGAGAAATCAGCTGACAGTCTTATGGGAACTCCCTTTTAGGTAACTAGCTGTCTTTCTCTTGCTGCTTTTAAGATTCTCTCTTTGTCTTGAACCTTTTGCCTCTTGATGATGACGTGTCTTGTTGTGGGCCTCTTGGGGTTCATCTTGTTTGGGACTCTCTGTGCTTCCTGGACTTGTATGTCTCTTTCCTTCACCAAGGTAGGAAAGTTTTCTGCCATTATTGTTTCAAACAGGTTTTCGATTTCTTGTTCTCGCTCTTCTCCTTCTGGCACCCCCCAGATGCGAATGTTGGCATGCTTGAAGTTGTCCCAGAGGCTCCTTACACTATCCTCATTTTTTTGGATTCTTTTTTTTTTTTTTTGCTGTTCTGATTGGGTGTTTTTTGCTTCCTTATATTCCAAATCGATGGTTTGCTTCTTGGCTTTACCTACTCTACTATTGAATCTGTGTAAATTATTCTTTATTTCAGTTAGTGCCTCCTTCATTTCTGACTGGTCCTTTTTTATGCTCTTGAGGCCCTCACTAAGTTCACTGAGGTTCTCACTAAGTTCATTGAGCATCCTTATAAGCAGTGTTTTGAACTCAGCATCTGTTAGGTTGCTTATCTCCATTTCACTTAGTTCTTTTCTTGGGGTTTTGTTCTGTTCTTTCATTTGGAACCTGTTTGTCTCCTCATTTTGGCTGCCTCCCTGTGTTTGTTTCTGTGTATTACTTAACAAGAGCTATGGGGCTAACTGAGACCAGATGCTGCTCATTTGAAAGAATTTAGGAAAACCTGAAGTAGGATCCAAGACAGGCCAATCCTATGGTTAAGCAACTGGCAACAGCTTGGGTGGGCCTGAAAATTGGGTGGGGCGGGGCCTCAGGGAATCACCAGGGCGGGGCTACCAGTGTGAGCCAGGTTGCTGGAGTCCCAGATATGGGGATTGTCTGCCGCCCCAGGGAAGGGCTCACCAAAGGAACAAAGGCCTCTGACAGTATGTCTGTCCCTGAGAAAGCCCCCTCTCCTGCCCTCGCTCCAGTGCCAAGCAGCTCAGTTCTTCCCTGTATGTCTCTGGTGCCCCTCGAGCTGACTCCCCTCCAAGCTTAGAGGGAGAGAGTCCGATAAGTCAGTGCGCGGGCCCTTTAAGGAGCTGCCTGGGGCTCCAGCTGCCTCAGCTTCCCTGAGCCTCAGTTCCCGCTGGTTTTTCCAGCCAGAAGTTATGGGGATTCTCTTCCTGGCACTGGAACCCTGAGCTGGGCGCCTGGTGTGGGACGGGGACCCCTCAGTCCTCAGGGAGGACCTTCCCAGCCGAGGTGTCATCCTGGTTTTTATCCGCCACACGTGGGTGTGGGACCAGCCCGTCCGCCTCCGCCCCTCCTACCAGTCTCGTTGTGGCTGCTGCTTTAATTCCGTAGTTGTAGGACTTCCATTCAGCTGGATTTCAGGCGGTTTTGAATGATGGTTATTCTGTAGTTTTGTAATTTTGATGTGGTTGTGGGAGGATGCGATACGATGTTTACCTACGCCGCCATCTTGACCGAAAGTCTAAATTGTATTTTCTTTAAAAAATGTTTATGTATTGATGATTTGAAAGAGAGAGAGAGAAACATGAATTTGATGTTCCACTGGTGTATGCATTCATTGGTTGCTTCTTGTATGTGTCCTGACCAAGGATTGAACCCTCAACCTGGGTGTATCAGGATGACACTAACCAACTAAGTACCTGGCCAGGGCTCCTCCCCCTTTAACAAAAATTATAGACATTCTTATGACTGTGGAATAGTATCTCATTGTAGTTTGGATTGTATTTCCCTGATGACTGTAATGTTGAGCATCTTTTCATGTACTTATTGGTCATTTTTATGTTTTTGGAGAAAGGTGTCTTCAGAATCTTTTGCCCATTTTAAAACTGGATTATTTGTCTTTTTATTTTTGAGTTATAAGAGTTCTTTATATATTCTGGGTATAAATTCCTTATTCAGTATATGATTTGCAAATATTTCAGGGTTGTTCTAGAGAGAAAAATATTGGAAGCAACTTAAATGCTATTTGATGTAGATAGTAGTTCATCCATGTAATGAACTTCTGTGCAGCTTCTAAAGATAATTTAGATCTAATAATTAGTCACTTAGAAACATGTTTCATAATATATTGATGAAAGAAAGTACGTGTCATATGCTCCCATTTATGTTAAGGGTGTGTGTGCACACATATACATGCATAAGAAATTGTTTGGAAAGCTGTATGGCAAAGCTTTAACTGTAGTGGTCTGTGAGTAGTATGATTAATGGTGGCTTCCCCTTTTTTTTTAAAGTCAAATATACTTTGTTTTTATTTTTTAAAATTTTTTTCTTTATTGATTTCTTTTTTTTAGAGAGAGAGGAAGAGAGAGGGAGAGACAGAAACATCGATGAGAGAGAACATCAACTGGCTGCCTCCTGCCTGCCCCCCACTAGGGATCAGGCCCACAACCTGGGCATGTGCCCTGCCTGGGAATCAACCTGGCAACCACTGAGCCACACTGGCCGGGCAGCTTTTCCCCCTTTTAAACCTTTCTTTTGTCAGACTTTTACAGTGGGCATATCATTTTTATGTTCAGAAAAGTAAAATGATTTCCAGTGGTTAGAAAAGGGGAAGAGGGCCTGGTATAGGCTGATGATTCCTTGAAAGCTTAGGGGTTTTTTTGACACTGATGCATCCCTGTGGTTTTGTCATTTATCAGCTCTCAGACTACAGCACAGATCACATGAGTTTTTTTTTAGATCTTACTTTTCTTGTTTAGGAGTAAATGACAAAAGACAGCTGTCCTGGGACCTTGCTTTAGGTTTAGTTATGGCTTTTCCTCAGCCTGCATGGGCTGTCTTTCTAATGTTCTGTTTTTTCTCTTCTGACCTCCCTAGACCGAGTGACTGTTCTCTACCAGAGCAAAGCAGTCGGCTACACCTGGCCTGGTCCATTTTCCATGGCAGACTCCAGCCCTTGGGTTCATATTACCCTAGGTGATGGCAGCACCCTCCAGACCAAATTGTTGGTAGTTGAAAATTCTTATTTTGCCAGGGGTCTTACATATCTACATCTTTTCCTCCATTCTAGGGCTTCTAGTTTTACATCTAAGCTACAGTTGATGTTAATTTTAGGCAAAGCTCTTGGCTATAAGGACCAGTACGCAGTAAGCTAGCTCAAGTTAAGATGGTCTTGTAAATCCTGTACAGGACACTATCTCCTGGACCATCTTAGATCATGAAATAGAGGACAACTGGCCTCACAGGGACAGAAATTGAGGCTATTCTTTTCTTCTCAGGAGTCCTGTAAGTTACTCATGTCCTTGCATCTTCCATTTCCTTCTCTCTCTGCTCATCAGCTTCCCCTTTGCCATGGCAGCCATTCCTCACCTTACACGTGGACTGTTAAACTCTAGTACCTGCCTGTTACTTTTTAGTTCAGAAAGCAAGAGAATTTGGCTGAGTTTAACCTGTGGCTGGCACCTCATGAGTCAGATGTCCAGCACTGGTCCGTTAGCTGAGGCTGGGGTCACATATGTAGAACTACCCCTTTAGGGGCTGAGAGTGAGGCAGGCATAAGTTGTATGCCGTAGATGGGCTTGCCGTAGCAGTTGGAACTAGGGAACTCTTTAGGAGGCAGAGACAAACTTTTGGAAGTTTCATTTATTTTAAGATTATAAGACTTAGCAGGCCCTGTCTCCCCGCAGATTGGCGCAGATGGTCACAACTCAGGAGTACGGCAAGCTGCGGGAATCCAGAATATTAGCTGGCACTACGATCAGTCTGCTGTTGTGGCTACTCTACATTTATCAGAGGTAAGATCTGGAGCCCAGCCCTGGCCAGAGAGACTTGGTTGGAGCGTCATCCAGTACACTGAAAGGTTGCAGGTTCAATTCCTGGTCAGGGCACATACCTAACTTATGGGTTCGATCCCTGGTCAGGGTGTGTACGAGAGGCAACTGATCGATGTTTCTCATATCTGTGTTTTTCTTTCTCTCTCCCCCTCTCTTCCTTTCTCTAAAATCAGTAAACATGCCCAGCTGGGGTGGCTCAGTGGTTGAGCATTGACCCATGCACCAAGAGGTTCAATTCCCGGTCAGGGTACATGCCCAGGTTGCAGGCTTGATACCCAGCAAGGGGGTTGTGCGGGAGGCAGCCAACTGATGTTGATGTTTCTTTCTCATTGATGTTTCTATCTCTCCCTCTACCTTCCTCTCTCTCTAAAATAAATAACACATTTTAACATCTAAACACATCCTCAGGTGAGGATTATAAAAAAAGATCCTGAGCCCATTCTATGGGACCCTGCTGGTGTTTAATATGTGTGCTTCTCACAAGAACTGTTCTCCTCTCTATTATAGGCCACAGAAAACAATGTAGCTTGGCAGAGATTTCTTCCCTCTGGGCCCATCGCTCTGCTCCCGGTAAGAAGTCCATCTGGCTAGTCTGTTTAAACATGTCCCGCCTTCCTCTTTTAGGACTTCATTTTCTCTCAGCTGTCTTCAGGTTTCAAGGGCATATCCCCAGGCTAACTCTGTTTCCCCTTCGTACCTTTATGCTTGAGAGTGCCCAAAACAGAAGTGTTAGCTGTCAGTATTGATGGTGTTCTTTTGAGACAGCTCTCAGACACCTTGAGTTCCTTGGTCTGGTCCACATCCCATGAACATGCCGCTGAGCTGGTCAGCATGGATGAGGAACACTTTGTGGATGCCATTAACTCCGCCTTTGTGAGTATCAGCTTGTCCACCTGGCGAGGTGTTGCGGGGTAGATACAGAAGAGCGGTTTTGAGTAGGAAAAAGAAGTAACCAAACCAGCTGCCCTTTTGTAGCTGAAAGGCTTGGTCTAGATGATGTGGAGGAGGGCATTTAGGGAAACCCAAGCGATAGAAGTCAGTAACTTGTGTGCTCTTGAGGGTTGTGAGCTGTTGTGCTGATTGAAACAGCTGGGTGGGTGGAAGTTGGCGCTGGCCTGGTTTTGAAGCTGTAATACTTGCATAATCTTGAACAGCTTTACTAGGTCCCAGGTACCTGAGCCTTTGAAGCCCGATTCATCAGAATGTTTTGGAGAGGGGCGGAGCACATTTCGGTGGGAGCTTGAGAGTAAGCTTTAGACAAACCTGGATTCAGTACTGGTACTAAGAGTAAATCTCTTGAAAAATGGACATATTATCACCAACCTCTTGGGTTAGTAATAATAATTAATAATAAAAGTCTAAAGACTTAAGATGAGAGACTTTATGTAAAATGCTTACAACATACTTCATATATTATAGGTATTCAATAAATAATAATTATTATGCTGGAGTAATATAGCTTTTAGATAATATGGCACAGTATTTTTGGAGTTTAAATGATACATTTATCTAATTCACTAATAGTAATAATTGGTAACATTTATTGAGCACTTACTATGTACCAGGTACTGGTGAAGAGTTTTACCTCTGTTTCTGTATTTAAATCAGTGACCCTTTGAGGTAGGGACTAATAACATGCTCATTAAAGACAGGTAACTTGCCCTGGCCAGTTTGGTTCAGCGGTTAGAGCATTGGCCTGTGGTCCAGAGAGACCCGAGTTCGGTTCCCACTAAGGGCACGCACCTCGGTTGCAGTTTGTCCCCAGCCCTGGTTGGGGTCGTGCGGGTGGCAACCTCTCAATGTATCTCTCTCACATCGATGTTTCTCTCTCTTCTCTCTCTTCCTCTCTCTCCCTCCCACTCTATCTGAACAAAAAATGGGAAAATGTTCTCGGGTGAGGATAAAAAATAATAATAATAATAAAGACAGGTAACTTGCCCAAGTTTGTACATCTCGTGCAAAGCTGGGTTCTGAAAAGGCTTGCCCTCAAGCCGTGGTTTTAACCACCAAACTCTGTTACCTCACTGATGACTTCACACTGAAGAACGTAAGCTTCATTGCTCTGTAGTAGCAACAATAAAAGGAACTGAACACACTGAAGTGGCTTCCAGGATGGATGCTACCCCATCTGGGTCATTTAGCATATATTCCTGGCACAGGCCTCTGTAGTACATCCCTGTAGCAATGACTGTGAGTGCCTTCTATGTAGAAGGGTCTGGAGATAGACAACTGAGACAGTCCCTGCTTTTAGGAAGCTCCTCGTCATGTGAGGAGAAAGGCACATAAAGGACAATTTTGGTTTGGTGGTAGAAGTATGCATAGGATGCTATGGGAGCATGGAGGTGAACACACACGAGAGAGTTTGGAGGGAGGTTTCTATTTTCTTTTTTAATCCTCACCCGAAGACATTTTTGCATTTATCTTCAGACAGAGCGGGAAAGAGGGAAGGAGAGAGAGAGAAACATTAACGTGAGAGAGACACGAGTGGTTGCCACCCACACAATCCCCACCGGGGCCGGGACAAAATGCAACTGAGGTACATGCCCTTTGCGGGACTCTCCAGTTCGTGGGCCAAAGCTCTAACTGCTGAGCCAAACTGGCCAGGGCTGGAGGGAGGTTTATAAAAAGAGCTGGTAGCCTCTGGGTGCTCTGAGGTGTGATCCTGGTGAACTACAAGTGGCAGGACATTCTAAGCAGAGGGGAATGTCAGAGGCAAAAGGATTTTGTTGAATGAGCTGTAGTGCGACTGGTGGAGGGTGGGGGACCAGTGAAAGGTCAAGGTCAGAGGTAGGCAAGGGGCAGCTCAGGAGCAGTTTGGCTTGATCCTAAAACCTGTGGGAAGCTGTGTTTTGCATTTATTTGAGGGACTTGTCACTTGGGGTCCAGATCGTTTTAGGCATGCCAGTCACTGATGAAATTTCACTTTGTTTTGTGGCTAATGCTACTAGTGGAGTGATGCTAACCACACGGACTTCATCGACTCTGCCAGCACCATGCTGCACTATGCTGTTGCCTTTCTGAAGCCCACTAAGGTCTCAGCTCGCCAGCTGCCCCCAAGTGTAGCCAGGGTGGATGCCAAGAGCCGAGTACTGTTTCCTCTTGGATTGGGACATGCTGCTGAGTACGTCCGGCCTCGGCTGGCGCTCATTGGGTAAGATAATAGCCGGGAGGGCTACTCCCTTCTCACTCTGCTGCTGGAGGCCACACCTAAACTCCGCTTTGTTTTCAGGGATGCTGCCCACAGGGTCCATCCACTTGCAGGACAAGGTGTCAACATGGGCTTTGGGGATATTTCCAGCTTGGCCCATCACCTCAGTATTGCAGCCTTCAATGGGAAAGACTTAGGTAAGGATTCAGGTACCTTCTAGAAAGATCCAGAGGTCATGTAGCTAGGGAAGATCAGGACCCCTAAGTGCCCCTCAGTAGCCAGATGTGGTGGACATAGTTTTCTAGGAAAGAAAACTTCACTATGGGATTAGGGCTGTGACCTTCACCTCTCCTCCAGGCTCCATGAGCCACCTCACAGCTTATGAGACAGACAGACAGCGTCACAACACTGCTCTTCTGGCTGCTACCGACCTGCTGCAAAGGCTCTACTCCACCAGTGCCCCTCCACTCGTGCTGCTCAGGACGTGGGGCTTGCAGGCCACAAATGCAGTGTCTCCGCTCAAAGTAAGGGGTTGCTCTCGGCGAAGAGACTTGGTCACTGAGGAATGACTTTGCCAATGACTTAGTTTATTTGAGTTAATTTTCTTGGCTGTAAAATTCTCTTTATCTTTCCCAGTGGTTGTTTTTTGGTTTTTTTTGGGGGGGGGCAGGGGATACGTGCCCCTAGCGGGAACCGAACCCAGGACTCTGTGGTCCTCAGGCTGATGTGCCAACTGCTGAGCCAAACCGGCCAGGGCTTCCCCAGTGGTTTTGAACAAAAAAAAAGTCCTTGCTGGGCGTGTTGGTGCTGGGGCTTGTTCCTATACAGTATACGGAAGGGCGTAACGTAGGGAATAGGGCTTTCACCAATAAAGATGCTTCAGCTCCTTTTGCTGCTCAGTCAGCTTTTTCTCCTGAGAAGTGTCCATTTAAAGACACCTGGGAGGGACTCTTGGGAAAGAGTGTCTTTCTGGGACTTTTGCTGAATTTTCGCTTGAATCAGTTTGGATACTTTCAAGTACTTTCTTCACCTGCCCTCACACTTACAGTGTCAGAGTATCACTTACTTTGTTTCATTTTTTTTTTTTTAGGAACAGATTATGGCCTTTGCAAGCAAATGAATGCTCCTCTTCTGTAGATTATATTGAAGAAAGATGAACATCTTTTTCCAAGGCCATCACAGAGTTTCAACACTTAATTTAATAAATTGACTTTGTATTAGCATTCCCTAGTCTCTTTTTCTCCTTTATTTAGGGAACCTGTGGAGCCCAAATAATGAGTGATAATTTGCTGTGAGGAGGGTGTATAAACCAAGCCAAGGAAAACCCCAAAGGAGACGACTATTATGATTTTTGTTAAAAAGAACTTTTTATTACTAAAACAATTGCTAAGGTTCTGTCTCATTTATTTTTACTTGTTAATCCTTTCTAAAGATAAGATTTATACAATTTTTTTAATGGTCATAAATTTATACAATTGTTTTTTGATAAAGAATTAGAAATATTCAATTGATACATTTTTTTGGAATTGCTGTTTTAAATTTAATAACAAATTGCTTTAGCCTTTGTTATAGGTACACTGGAATTTCTGAATAGAAAACCAAATCTTGTTGATGCTAGTTGTTATTTCTCCAGCATCAGATCTCAGTTTTATTTATGGCTCCTCTCGGGGGCACAACTGTCTGTTCAGTAATAAAACAATAAGTAGTTTCATTGCACAGGTCTGAAAATTTCAGGAGCCCGGTCAAAGGGAGGGTCTGATCAGCAGCAGAATTTGTTCCTGTTTGGTTGCAGACTGGTAGCTGTCGGGTCAGGTGCTATAGATGCTTGAAGAGCTCACTGCAGTACCAGGGGTGCCTCTTGAAGATTTCTGGATCCATTGAATTTGTATACGGTAAAGAACATTTTGTCCAAAAGTCTGATTTGATGATGAAATGAGTCTGCTTTTGAACAAAGCTAAGCTATTCTGGGGAATAGTTTAAGATGTTAGAGTAAAAAACTGACAGTGTCACAGACGTTCCTGGACTCCCGGGGAAAATGTGCCCAGAATGAAAGATGGCCACTACTGTGAAAGCTGTGTGACTACTAGCAGAGTCTAGAAACTAGGTCATTGTAGGGAAAAACAAAAAGGTCATCCTTCACAAAAAATAGAAAGGTAGCCCAGGCGAGGACAACATGGACTCTCTAAAAAGATGCAAATAAAATCAGGCAAGAGAGGAAGAATTTTAAGGCACACCTTGCAAGAACTCCCAAACCCACAGAGGATGGTCTTCATAAGATGGTAAACAAACATCCACTGCGTGCCAGCTCAGGTCCTAGTATTTGAAATATATAAATAGATATATAGAAAAGAAATTTAACCAGCAATATTAGACTCTACAGGATTCCTCAATAAGAGGCCGAAGAGGTATACTAAGGGGCAAAAAGGACATTATAGACAAGTCATTTTTTCAAAGAAATAAAAGTTCTGCCCTGGCCAGTCAGCAGTTAGAGCGTCGGCCTGCAGACCAGTGAGTCAAGATTCAATTCCAGTCAAGGGCACATAACCTTGGTTTCGATATGTCCTGGCCTTGGTTGGGTCATGCGGGAGGCAGCCAGTCGATGTGTCCCTCTTATGTTGATGTTTCTCTCTCCCTCCTACTCTATCTGATGATAAATGGAAAAATATCCTTGGATGAGGATTAAAAAATAAATAAAAGTTCTTACTCCATATTGCTCCTAAAATGGATAAACTGGTTAATTCTCCAGATGTTCTAATCAAGATTATCAGAAAATAAGTAGATACATTTCTGGAGTTAATGCATCTATCCAAGGCTTCTGGAGGTGCTTGGGATAACCAAAGGAGTCTGAACAGTCATTTATGTGAAAATCTTCAGAGAGAAGCTATGACAAGACCGAGGAATCTTACCTCTCTGGACCCGTCAAAATGGAGGAATCTTTAGTGAACACAGCTTACCTCTTGGGAAAACAGCTTGGTTTCTACCAGAGAAACCAGTCTCTCCCTAATCATGCAGAACAACACGTAGTATATGACTGGTTCTAGCACTCGATCTATGTGACAAAAATGGTAAGGGGTCTAGAAGCCAGGTGTTCTATGAAATAAGAGACCACAGAGGACTTAGGAGGAATTTTCTTCAAGACTGAAAGGCTATGAAAGGAGGGATTAGAGACCACTGAGAGGACAGACTGCAGCTCAACATAAGGAGGGAGGTTTACCATCAACGCAGTCCCACATAGAATGAGCTGTCTGAAAACATGCCTAACCGGAAGCGGAATGATAGCCAGTTGGAAATGTTAAGGGAATTCTGCAGCAGTTAGAAGGTTGGATTATATCTTTGGGCTGTTTCCAATCTAAAGATTCTGTTTCATTATGTATCAACATTTTTTGAGGACAGTAAGTATAAAGGTGACCTTGGTAATAATAAAAGTCAATGTGAAGAATCTGAAGAAATTCCACATTGAATTTTTAAACAAAATTTGGGGGTGAGGATACAGAAATTTGCCTAGTTGAGTATTTATTGACTCAGTGGAATAACTTTAAAAAATAAGGTTCCCCAGGAACTAGTGTGAGGGCCGGGTGTTTAACATCTTTTGTGAGAAAGCTGAAAGAAAGTCTACTATGAAAGCTACAAGTCTGGGAGATGCAGACTCTGCTGGAAAGAAGCTGGAGGTAACGAGCCAGGGTAAATGAGCAAGTCAACAGGAAGATCTTTCAAGCCCAAGAGCACTGGAGTGGTAACAAGAAGCAGGTGGTGGTCATGTGGGAAAATACAAGATAATGAATTTTAGGGGAAGTCATTCACAAAAGGAAGAGCTCAGAGTGTTCAAACTATAGCACTAATGAGGGCCAAAATGGCCAACCAAATAAAATGTTAGGTTATCATCGAGAAGGCCCTGGAACTAGACAAATAATTTAGGGCCAGGTAGGAAGAGAAACTGCTATAAACAGACTAAAATGGCAAACTGGAAGGAGGTGCAACCAAAATCTAGATTCTCAAATAGCTAGGGTATTAATGTATTTCTTAGAAATACAAATAAATAAGTCTAGGAGGACAAATTACTATAATCAGCCTGGAAGGAGGGACTGGCACTGAATAAACATTCCTATAAGGTTGGACATGTTCATTAATCTCACGGTTGACTTATAAAAAGTTGATTAAGAGAAGGTGACCTATACAAGGCAGCCACACCCTCCCAAAACATGTCCCTAGAGGCTGGATTAGCCTCCTTTCTTTTTTTTTTTTTTTTCCCCTCACCCTAGGACATTTTTCCAATTTTTGTACAGATAGAGTGGGAGGGAGAGAGAGGAAGAGAGAGAGAGAGAGAAACATCGACATGAAAGGGACACATCGAGTGGTTGCCACCCGCACGACCAACCAGGGCCGGGGACAAACTGCAACCGAAGTACGTGCCCTTAGCGGGAACCGAACCCGGGTCTCTCCGGACCGCAGGCCGACGCTCTAACCGCTGAGCCAAACCGGCCAGGGCTAGCCTCCTTTCTTAAGGCTGGAAGTTGCTCTCCATCCTGCTAAGAGTTAGGATGGCTCAGCTGGCTGATTACAGCTAGTGCAAAGCAGGACCACACAACTTCAGGGGTGGTACCTTTCCCCTTGAATTACACATGAAAAGCAAAACCAGGTATTTTTTCCTCTCTCTTTTTTGGGGGTGGGTGGACGGGTTTGATAAGGGTAGGACAGGGCAATGTGCAGGGAGGAAAAATATACTGGTGTTGATAGGCCATGGGATTGCAATCAGTCAGCTGAGTTTAGCATGAAAGGAAAATTAAAATGTTCAAAGAATGAGGCACTCAAAGAGTTGAAATGAGATTTTTCTTTGGTTCCCAGGGACTTGTCCCTGGGTTCTCCATGGTTAAGTTCCAAAGCTATTCCTTTTGGCTCTCTGTGACACACAAGCATGCTCAAAAATTTAAACTCTGGTACCAGCTGTGCAAGCAGAATGGTTAGGTACCAGTTCGTATCAGATGTGTAAAATAAATAAACCCAAATCTCTACACTTAAGAGCAAGACCTGTCTACAAAAGCCCCTTCCTCCTGATGAAGCCAGCTGCTGGGTTTCAACCCCGGTGGTTTCCAGACTCTCTCAGAACGTGATTCAGTCTTCTCTCCTTCTCCAGTTAAAAGAGGTTATTAGCAAATGCAGACTTCAGAGGAAGGGCTGGGCCTCAGTGGGAGATGTCCAGAGACTGCAGCAAGTGAAAGGTGGCCCCCAAGGCCCAACCTGTTTCTATGTTGTTCACTTTCTTTGTGAGCTGTTGGGGAGGAGAAAAAAAAAGTCTTCACATTTTCATTCAACTTTCAACTCTAGCAAGATGACTACTGGCAGAGAATACCTGCAAAGATCATCCACATGGCCAAACCAGTTGGAGTTGCCAGTCTGGAGACTTCCCCATTACCCATCTCTGCAGTTTCTTTCCTGCTGTGGCCTATTTATTGCCCTACCCGCGCCAAGCTGATCCCTGAATGTGATCCAGGAAAGTGGTCTCACCCAGGCTTTCCAGACAGGACTTTTGGAACTCTTTCCCTGATCCTGAAACTAAATATAACAGGAGTTGGGAATAGATTTAGGAGTGGGAAAAAACATTAAGCTTCTCAATTCATCCTTGTAAGTAACTGCATCTTGTTAAACATTATTATTATTTATTTTAATCCTCACCCGAGGATATTTTTCCATTTTTTGTACAGATAGAGTGGGAGGGAGAGAGAGTAAGGGAGAGAGAGAGAGAAACATCGACGTGAAGGGACACATTGAGTGGCCACCACCCGCACAACCAACCAGGGCCGGGGACAAACTGCAACCGAAGTACGTGCCCTTAGCGGGAACCGAACCCGGGTCTCTCCGGACCGCAGGCCGACGCTCTAACCGCTGAGCAAAACTGGCCAGGGCTTGTTAAACATTATTAATCATCCAAGATACTTAAGGCATTCTAGGCCAGATTGAGCCTCAGTTAAGTGACCCCATTTCCTCAACTACCTAACAAAGGGACTCAATTAATGTTTATCAAATTGTTTTCTTCAGAGTCTTGTGGGTTCCTTGGAAGTGCTTCAAAGAGAAAGGGGTCAAATGGTGAAGGGGTTTGAGGCCCCCACCTCTGCTTCTACCAGATGGTCGACTTACCAGTTTTACCGGCATTCTGCATAAGCTTTTGTTGAGTAAAGATGCCATCACCACTCACACACATTTGGAAACCAGTGGATTGGTTTTATTCTGTCTTTCTAGTACTGAGTTTTTTGTTGTTTTTTTAAATATTTTTTTCTTTATTGATTTTGGGGGGGGGGGGAGAGAGAAACATCTATGAAAGAGAACATCGGTTGGCTGCCTCCTGCATTCCCCCCACTGGGGATTTGGTCCACAACCTGGGCATGTGCCCTGACCAGGAATTGAACCCGCAACCTCTTGGTGCATGGGTCAGTGCTCAACCACTGAGCCGTACCGGCCAGGCCTCTGGTACTGAGTTTTGATGACACAATACTTTGCTGACCTCTGGAAATGCAGTCTAGTCACTGTGCCAGAAACTGGGGAGAATGGCATGTGAATCACCTTGAGGTTTAGTCTGAGACACCAGAGTCAAACTGGGAGCGTCCCCTCATTAAATGCTCTCCTCTGTTCTCAGGACGGGCCTGACAGCCTAGGGATACAGGGGAATAGGTGCTGAAGTGAAGCTCTCTCTGGGATGGGACTGTCCACCCGATTTAAATGTTGCTGCCACTGGAATCACGAAGAGCAAAAGGATGCCAGCACTGGAAGCGACAGAAACTTGTCTTTAAACGACTTGGTTACAGTTGATGCTTAAGTAGAGAATGTTGTTAGCTTACTACTCTGTATTGAGGGTTTAGGATGACCTCTCTAATCCACAACTCTCTCCCCAACTGCTGTGAAATGCCTACACTGCTAACAACACCAATACTAATAACTTACACTATGTTTCACAGGCATTATCTCAATTTTTTTTTTTTTATCCTCACCCGAGGATATTTTTCCATTTTTTTGTACAGATAGAGTGGGAGGGAGAGAAAGGAAGGGAGAGAGAGAGAGAGAAACATCGACGTGAAGGGACACATCGAGTGGCTGCCACCCGCACGACCAACCAGGGCCAGGGACAAACTGCAACCGAAGTACGTGCCCTTAGCGGGAACCGAACCCGGGTCTCTCCAGACCGCAGGCCGACACTCTAACCGCTGAGCCAAACTGGCCAGGGCGGCATTATCTCAATTTTAACAGCCCTATAGAAGAAGTATTCTGAGAATACCTGTGTTTTGGACGAGGAACCTAAATGTTAGAGAGGAAGTAAATAAGGTTACAGAGCCAGTAAGCTTGCAGAATCAGAACTTGAATCCAGATCTGACATACAACAAAGCCCATTCTTTAAATACTACTATACCAATCTACTGGCAAGTAACTTCTGTCTTAAGCACCTTAAATGCTGATGTTCTTGGTGGGTAAAAAACATTAAGTCCAAATGCCTTAGTACAAATGAATTAATGAAATCTGTATAACACAACAAATTGGGGAATATAAACTCATCTGGAACTAAAAAAACAGGAAGGGGAAGTGGCGCAGAGGAAGGTGAGAGGAGGAAGCTCAAAAACAGTAGTCTCCTATGGACGCAAAAGTGCTAAGTTGCCTTGTGCCATCTCCTCTAATAGACTACATGACTTCTGAGGACAAAGATTACATGTTACTCATCTTTGTAACTGTGGATGAAAAAGGGACCACATACTAAACCTGACAAGCTCAAGGGAGGCCTGCCTGGCGGCCTTACAAACCCAGAGACTGAAAGTAACCACACAGGGTGGTCTGAATATAAAATTCCTAGCTAAAAGTGGGTAGTCACATCCTAAGCCTACAGCTTCTCTGACAAAGGTCAATCTTTACCTTAAATTGTCTATTGTCCTGTGCCTCTAGGATAACATACCTTTGAACTGTCAGAATACTTTTCCAGAACCCTCCGGGCGCAACCTCGGCACAGAGCACGAGACCACACTGCAGTCTGTTGCCCAGGTGCCATCTCGATGTACCCTGATGTTTATTATCCTCTACCCACCGATGTAAAAGATGCGTCTCTGTGTTTTGCTTTTATCCAATCTCAGAGATTTCCCCACTTTGCTTTCTCCCACCTTCCTAATCTACCACCAATGGATTTCATATAACCCCCTTACATCCCTTTTGATTCCAATGTATAAAATAAGATGCAAACTGCCATTCTCTGGAGCATTTTCTCAATCCTTTGAGATTCTGCCTCCAGGCCACTGTTAAGAGTTTGGTTCAAATAAACTCTTATGAGACTTTTTCTAATGATGGATGTTCTTTCATTGACATAACCATACGTACAATTATTCAATTATAGTATTGGAGACAAGAAAATAGATGGGATGAAAGAAATATATAAGAAGTGATTAGAATAGAGAAATAATTTACTATAGATAAAGCTGAGCCTGTCCTGGAACAGATGGGCAGAGACAGGAAGATAAAGAGGGACCCAAGATTCAAGAGGAGGCATATATAAAATATGTATGACATAGTACATATACACAAGGCATTCAACATTCATGAGGTCTTAGGCCACTCGTTAGTGACACCCTTCTGGTCTCCCATGTCCTCTGCCAAGTAAAACCATCTAATAGGCTGAGTGGGCAATACTACCAGACAGTGTCCCTGCACCTGTGCCTCTCCAAATAGAGGAAATTTGTGTGATGCCCCAGGCACCTTCTGTCCTTGTGCCCCTTGATCAAACTTTAGTTCTAGTACTTGTAACCACCCTCAGCGGAGGGAGGCAGGACACACAAACTCAGGACTCAGGAAGTGTGTCACTTCCAACCTGCTTGCACTCTGTCCTGTATGTTTACCTATCCCATTTCTTTCCTGTTGTTTCTTGTCCTGAGTTTCAAAGCTGATTTAATAAACCATGGAACCTAGGCATCTTCATTTGGGCTACAAGCCTTCTGCTCTGTGACCGCTAGGATAGCTTGCCTGGTAATATACTTAGAAGCTGCCTTTGCATCAAGGTAATTTCCCATATTCATAGTGCCTTGCACAGTGCTTTCCACAGTCCTAATAAAAATCCTCATAATTCCACCTGTAGCCACTCTGATTACTAAATAAGTTCTTAACTCTTTCTTCCCAATTCCCAAATAAGAAGTCTGTTATGCGACTCCTATGCTCGCTCTCTCTTACCTGTAAGACTGTGTTGTCTGCAAAGCCAAAGCCATCCTTCAACAAGGCTGAGATGTAACTGAGATCCATGCAAAGGAAAGGGCTGTCTGAGGTAAAGTTTTCCAAGTTGTCACATACTGATGGGGAGAGAGAGTGAAGAGTGGAATTCAAGTTTGCAGCCAACTGAGAGGTGTGGAATTTTCTCTAAATACAGACTTGGAATAAGCAAAGCAGAATTCTCCAGTTGGCTGATCCTGGGAGTCTTAGAGGCTAGAACTGTGCACTGACAGTCTCTACAAGACCATAGCTTCTTAAGAACGTGCATGTTTCTGATGGTATATCTTCTCAAATTTATATGGGCCCTAGTTTATTTGCTAAATCTCTATGAACTGTTTGGGCTTAATTCAACCACGTCCCTTATATATTATTAATGCTGAAGCCCAGAAGACAGGAAAATATGAGTTAGCCTTACTTTGGGGCCACTGGATAAGATCATTTATTTATATTTTCAATTGACTCTCTGCAGGAAACCTCTGTTGCTAATTCCCGTATATTTTGGTATGTGGTGTTTCATTAACACTGACAACACTATTTCAATTTTAAAAAATCACCAGAAATGTAGAAAAAACAGGTTTTCACCATTTTCCTAAAGTCTTTAATTCTCAGAGTTTTCTATTCCCTCTCTGTTGTTAGCTCCTGGCAAAGACAGATAACCAGCCCTGAGAGACTTTCTGCTGATGGCGGCATTGTAGGTCATGTTGAGGTCACTGGACTCTGTACAGCCTCACAGACACGCCGTCAAGAGCTACCCCTGACACCTACCTTCCTGTGCTTTTCTTTCGAAATCTTCAACTTTTAAAATGCCCCCCTTTTCATAATCTGAAATGAAACAAGAGAGTAGTTGAAGCCCAAGTGTCAAGAAAACGGGGAAATTCATCCTAGTGATATTTGTAATAAAAACAGGAAATAAAATTTCCTACATTAGAAAATGGAATTAAGTAAACATGATATTCATACAATATAATCTATGCAGTCTATTTATGTATAATCTATTTTATGTTATATGTATTTAGCCACAATACAGAATTTGACCCATTTAACTAAACACATTAGAAAACTGAAAATCGATTCATATTTCAGGCTATGACAAATCACATACATACATGGTCACAGCTAAACAAAAGCATTACTATTGTGATTAAAAAGTTATAAAGGGGGAGGAGGAAACGCTGAGGTGATAGATATGGTTTTAAATATTGAATCTGGTAATGGTTTCATGGGTGTATACATAAACTTAGCAAACTGTATATATATTTTTTCAAGTCAGACATGTAATGTGCTGATGTAACAAGGCTTAAGGGAGGCATATCTCACAAGAGTGTGAACACCCAATCATCACACTTATCAACTACAAAAGCATGTGTACACTTTAAATATGTACGTTTTTTTTTGTACGTGCCCCTAGCAGGAACTGAACCTAGGACTCTCTGGTCCGCAGGCCGATGCTCCAACCGCTGAGCCAAACTGGCCAGGGCTAAATATGTACATTTTATGCTAAATGAAATGTCAGAGAAGGACAAATACTATATGATTTCACTTATATGTGGAATCCAAAAAACAAAACAGAAACAGAGTCACAAATATAAGGAATGAACGGATGGTTGCCAGAGGGCAGGGGGATGGAAGGATGGGGAAAAAGGTAAAGGGGAATAAGAGGCACAAACTTCCAGTTATAAAATAAATAGGTCCTGGCATATAATGTACAACAGAGGGGAATATAGTCAATAATATTGTAACAACTTTGTACAGTGACAGATGGTTACTAGACATTCTGGAGATCACTTCGTAAGGTATATAAATGTTGAATCACTATTTTATATACTTGAAACTAATATAATATTGTATGTCAACTATCATAAAAAAACTCATATGCATTTACTTTGGGTCAATTATACCTCAATTAAAACACAGATTTCATATAAAATTTTAAGGTAATTTTCTAACTCCCAAAGATTCTCAATCATATGTACCATTCCATTTGAGTAACTAGTGTCACTCAACAACCAGCACTGAAGAAGAACAGGATGATCACCTCTGATGAAGCTTTTCAGATACTGCCTCTCCCCCTTTCCCACCAGAGCCTTGCCCAGGGTCCTCCCTGAACTGACACCTGGAGTAAACTTACCAATCATGTGTGTGTCAACAGCTCGATCGTAATAGTAAGAGAAGGCGTAGAAGGAGCTTCTCTGGATCTCATCTGGCTGGTGAAGTTTTCCCTGGACCACCCTCAGCACTTCTCTGTAGCAGGGTTCAAAGCCCACCTCCCCTGCCAGGGCAAAGATGCAGAGGGACACAGTGAGAAAAGTTACAGGGGAAGGGACCATACTCTTAAGGCAAGCTACTGGAGCCAGTGAGGAAACAGCAGGATCAAGGAAAGAAGGCCGAGGTTCAGGACAAAGGGCTTACAAAGATGAGCAAAATTCCACAGCCTCGCGCTCTAGAGGAAAGGCACCTGCTTCTCCATGGCAGCGCTCCTCCCTAACCCGTGTTCACCACAAACAGCCCCAGCTGGCCTCGAGCTGCTGCCTCACATTATGTTCCATCATCTTATGAGAAGTAGCTAGAAGGTTTGCCTTCTTCCTTTACTGGAAAAATCAAGTTTTCTCCTTGATTTTAAGGCCTGTGCCTTTTATAATACTTGAAGTGAATTGTTTTCCTTATCATCTCAAGTTTTAGTTTTACTGTAATTTAAATAGCTAAACATTGAACTGAACCTGAAAGTTGTACTCTGCTGAGGGCGGAGACCCTTAATGCATTAGACCCAGTGGTAAGAAAGGATCCATGACACTTGGCCAGGGAAAGAGCAGGATACAGAGTGACGGCTGCCTGGTTCACTGTCACTTCCCATTACTTCTTGAGGCATACCAAGATCTCTTTGTAATGAGTCCCTGTAATATGACAAGTTTCTCTTAAGCTCTGTAAAAAGTTTCCCGTGGAATTTTTCCAGACTTCAAGTGTAAAAATAATTTCAACCAGTGAAAACACATCACTTGCCTTCTTGGTTGCCACCATACTGGTATTTCATGCCCCCAAAAATCCACTCTGCTTCTAACCATCTTGGTAGACAGGCACTTCGAAAAGTGTGTCCCTCAGTCCCTGAAAAAACAAAACAAAAACCAGACCACAAAGTAAGAGGCAAGGATGTGAGAGGAGGCGGCAAGCAAGAAGCCACTAAGGTTGAAAGTAACCACCAAGGTGGCTGGGCCTTAAAATCATATGAAATCAGTTCCATGACCATATCCTATGACAAAAATTCTTAATGGGGTTCATAGATGGGCAGATTTTTGTGCACAAGTGCATTTGGCGGAGGGTTCCATGGCTTCCGTCACATCCCAAAGAAATCCAAAACCTACAATGGAATAAGTTCCGTCCTTTCTAAAAAAAAAAAAAAAAGAGGAGGGTGGGCAGGAAATACTGTTCTACTTTTCTCATTGGTTCTTGTGATGCTTAAATGAAACACATTTGAAGGTATTTTATAAACTCTGAAATGCTATACAACCATCATCACAATAGAAGCTTACTGTGAGCAAGGCATCATACAAAGCACATTAAATGCAAAATCTTATTTACGGTGAGGAAAGGGGCACAGAAGTTAGCTAACTTGCCCCAAATGAGAAAACTGAAACTGAACCCAGTTCCACCTGACCTCACAAGCTAAGCTCTCAACCCTTTCACCTGTGAGGAGGTGATGACGTTGCTCAGCTATTCCCCTTGCAAGCAGACGTTGTCCAATCCTGCATCTCCCACGTAAAGCCAAGGGCGAGCAAGCTCCTGCCAAATTCACTCTGTGAGCCTTGTATTTCTGCAGATACTTCAGCCTCCTGGCCACAGGCTGTTTCCCCATATAAACAGACCTCATTCTAGAAATGGCTTATCATGTATACCAAAACTTATCTGAACTCATAAAAGAGAAAAAGAATTTTCTATTATGCCCATTGTACAGCATATGCTTCCTGATTCAGCACGACCCTCTCCTCCACAGAATCACTGCCAAGGAAGAGAAAAGGCAAGCTGAGTACTGGTGTCACTCTCACCACACCCCAACCAGCACAGGTACCCAGACGAACCTTCTGTTTCCAGGGCTCCCAGAGTTGCTAGTCTTGCAGCTTTTAATCCAAATCCCAAGTAGCTGTAAAATACAGGATTGACTAATTTCATGCTGGTCCTGAAGTTATCCAGCCTAAAACTACCCCTTTTAAAAGTAACACGGTTTCTGTCTCCTTCCAAAGGGAGGAAAGCCTTGTTCTCTGTGACCTATTCATCTGGTATGCACAATACATGGTCATTTCTGCACAGTTTAGATCAAGGCTATGCAGTAACTATTTTCCACAGCTATGATTTAAAGGTCAGAGATAGTGATGCTTCTTAGGGCCCCACCCTGTGAACCATCCCCAGAAAGGCTCTCATTATCTTAGATCCCAGCCTCACTGTGATCAAAGTCTAGGCTGGATTTTGAACACCTGAAGGCAAGCTCAGTGGAGTTGGCACAGAGCTTTGGCTGAACTCTTTCTTAGTATCCTCTTTATAGAGAAACCTTTTGACTCTTTAAGTCATATATTTCAGAGATCAAGAATGCAGAAATCCTTGGGTCCCTTGGCATTTGGTATGTGGGTTAGGTTTCAGGTAATCAGCCTTCAGGGATTGGCAAAGACGTAAGGCTTGTCAGATGCAATAATAGATGTGAAAATGCTTTAAAAAGTTAGAAGTCTCATACTATATGAAATATTACTCCTCCCTGTCCCCGTCCTCACCTATGTGAATAGAGCTTATAAGTGCTGTTAAACATCTCAAAGGAAGTGAGGTAGCCCTTAGGGGTTTGTTCCAGGGTTTTCTGCAAATCAGAAAAAGCAAAAAGAATATTCAGAATCTGCGATTATCTAGGGATGTTATCACCACCATCCCTGTCCCTCCCCCAGAAAATCAGAAATGAAGGAGACAGAGTGAACTGCTAATCTCCCATGGCTTGAGGAATCAAAGAGACTCTGAACAGTGACAAAGAAAAGTTCACTCAGTTATTAACTGACTCTTCTCAACCTATTGGTGGTGGAGCTGCTGCCTAAAAGTAGGGTACCCCTTTCTTAGCACCATGATAAGCCTGACAAGTGAGTTGCTAACCAAACCTTCATGTTAATGACTCACCTGAAACTGGGGTAGGAACGTGATTTGGGTGGAGGCCCCCCCCAGGTCCAGGGTCCCCACAGTCTCCTGACTGTGGCCATGTAGCTGACCTGTGAATGAGAGCCAGTTTGAACATCCTCTGCTCCCTGGACAGCCCAATCATCCTGTCTGCGGTGTCTCTCCTGCTCTGGAGGAATTCTATCAACATTCCACTGCTCCCTGCCCCCACGGATTACAGGCAAATGTTAACCTAGAAGGACTCTTGCTGCAGCTGAGGCCTTGAAAACAGGTTATAAACACTAACTTCATGTCTTTCCTTTCCTCTTTTTTACAAAAGGAAAGAACAATGCAGAAAAGAAGAAAGGTAATTTTGCTCTCTGACCCTGTGTGAAACTCAGTTAAGAGCTTAAGATACACTTGAGAACGTATTACCTGTCAGAAAATTCACAGTAATCCAAGCTAATATGCCTAAAGAGAGAGCGAGAGACAAGGATTATATCACAGAGCATTTCCCCCTCTTCCCTGGCCCCATTTTGTTCTTTTCCTCTCTAAAGCTCACGTCTAAAGCACACACTTCCCTTCTCCCCATCCTTCCATTTCCTGCTATTCCATCCCTCCATGCTTAATTTGTTTCTCCTTTTTCTCCAGCACCCCCTTCCCTGTTCACAGTTCCTTTAATCAGATATTTTATTACCCCTGGCCCTCTTCCTCTAGATTCTAGAGTCTAGAACATATATCAACACCTCTCCACCTTCATAGGATCCATCCATGATGCTAACACTGTCATTTGGTACCAGGAAAGGTGACTTCTTGAAGATCTCTTTTACCTAGAAAAAAAGGAAAAAAATTTGAATTCCCTAAGGCAATAAAACATATTTCCGACTTCCAATCAAGATGGCGGGTAGGTAACCGCGGTATCACATCCTCCCACAACAACATCAAAGTTACAACTAAACTACAGAACAACAATCATTCAAAACCGCCTGAAATCAAGTTGAACGGAAGTCCTACAACTACGGAATTAAAGCAGCAGCCACATCCAGACTGGCAGGAGGGGCGGAGGCGGCGGCAAGATGGGCTGGTCCCACACCCACATGTGGCGGATAAAAATCAGGGATACCTCGGCTGGGAAGGTCCTTCCTGAGGACTGAGGGGTCCCCGTCCCACACCAGGTGCTCCACTCAGGGTTCCAGTGCCAGGAGGAGAAGTCCCCATAAATTCTGGCTGGAAAAACCAGCGGGAACTGAGGCTCAGGGAAGCTGAGGTGGCTGGAGCCCCAGGCAGCTCCTTAAAGGGCCCGCGCACGGACTTGCCGGACTCTCTCCCTCTAAGCTTGGAGGGGAGGCAGCTCGAGGGGCACCAGAGACATACAGGGAAGAACTGAGCTGTCTGGCACTGGAGCGAGGGCTGGAGAGGGGGCTTTCTCCGGGACAAACGTGCTGTCAGAGGCCTTTGTTCCTTTGGTGAGCCCTTCCCTGGGGCGGCAGACAGTCTCCATATCTGGGACTCCAGCAACCTGGCTCACACTGGTAGCCCCGCCCTGGTAATTCCCTGAGGCCCCGCCCCACCCAACTGTCAGGCACACCAAAGCTGTTGCCAGTTGCTTCACCACAGGATTGGCCTGTCTTGGATCCTGCTTCAGGTTTTTCCTAAATTCTTTCAAACAAGCAGCATCTGGTCTGAGCTAGCCCCATACCTCTTGTTAAGTAATACACAGAAACAAACACAGGGAGGCAGCCAAAATGAGGAGACAAAGAAACAGGTCCCAAATGAAAGAACAGAACAAAACCCCAAGAAAAGAACTAAGCGAAATGGAGATAAGCAACCTAACAGATGCTGAGTTCAAAATACTGCTTATAAGGATGCTCAATGAACTCAGTGAGGGCCTCAAGAGCATAAAAAAGGACCAGTCAGAAATTGTGGATGCACAGTCAGAATCGAAGGAGGCATTAACTGAAATAAAGAATAATTTACACAGATTCAATAGTAGAGTACATAAATCCAAGAAGCAAACCATCGATTTGGAATATAAGGAAGCAAAAAACGCCCAATCAGAACAGCAAAAAGAAGAAAGAATCCAAAAAAATGAGGATAGTGTAAGGAGCCTCTGGGACAACTTCAAGCGTGCCAACATTTGCACCTTGGGGGTGCCAGAAGGAGAAGAGCAAGAACAAGAAATCGAAAACCTGTTTGAAACAATAATGGCAGAAAACTTTCCTAACTTGGTGAAGGAAACAGACATACAAGTCCAGGAAGCACAGAGAGTCCCAAACAAGATGAACCCCAAGAGGCCCACACCAAGACACATCATCATCAAAATGCAAAAGGTTCAAGACAAAGAGAGAATCTTAAAAGCAGCAAGAGAAAGACAGCTAGTTACCTACAAGGGAGTCCCATAAGACTGTCAGCTGATTTCTCAAAAGAAACTGCAGGCCAGAAGGGAGTGGCAAGAAATATTCAGAGTGATGAAAAGCAAGAACCTACAACCAAGATTGCCCTATCCTGCAAAGCTGTCATTTAGAATCGATGGCCATATAAAGAGTTTCCCAGACAAGAAAAAGTTAAAGGAGTTCATCACCACCAAACCGTTATTATATGAAATGAAGGGTCTTTTTGAAGAAAAAGATAAAATATATGAACAAACAAAATGGCAATGAATACATATCTATCAACAATGGAATCTACAAACAAAATGAACAAGTAGAATAGGAACATTCTCATAGATACAGAGAATATTTTGTTGGTTGCCAGATGGGAGGGGAGTTGGGGGAATGGGTGAAAAAGGTGAAGGAATTAAGAAGTACAAATTCAATGCTAGACTGACAAACCTCAAAGGGAAAGGGGTTGGGGGGGTGGGAAGAAATAAACCAAAGAACTTATATGCATAACCAATGGACACAGACAATAGTGTGGGAAAAGGCGGGAGGGGGGCGGGAGGAGGGGGTCAATGGGGGAAAAATGTGGAACATCTGTAATACATTCTACATTCAACAATAAAGATTTAAAAACAACAACAACAACAACATATTTCCGCCCTGTCCACTCAGCGGTTGGAGCGTTGGCCTGTGGACCAAAGAGTCCCGGGTTCGGTTCCTGCTAGGGGCACATACTGAAAAAAAAAAAAAAAAAAAGAAAACATATTTCCTTGCCCTGGCTAGTTTGGCTGCGAGATTGAAGCATTGGACTGTGGACCAAAGAGTCAAGGGTTTGATTCCAGTCAAGGGCACGTACCTCAGTTGTGGTACATCCCCACATCCCCATCCCTGGTTGGTGTCATGCAGAAGGCAACTGGTCAATGTGTCACTCTCAAATTGATGCCCCCCACCCCCACCTCTCACTCTATCTGAGGTAAATAGAAAAATATCCTCAGGTGAGGATTAAAATAACAAACAAATATATGTCCATATTTTGGCTATATCCTAAAAAAATAAATGAAATCTTAGCAGAATTCATTCCTTTTCCCTAAAGAAACTAGAGAAGGAATTACTCAAGCTATTATTTGTTTCTTGTAAAATGAAAACACAGGTATTCCCTTGACTTTAAAATAAATCTCAACCAAACCATCTACATTTATAGGCAAACTGGACCTAGGAAAAGACATACATTTGACCTTGCCAGCTCAAATCAAGATCCTGCAATTTTTTTATAACACCTTATTAATTCTACCTGGATATGTACTGGAAGCTAGGAGGACCCCTTCCCACTCCATTTCTTAGATAAGCAGATAAACTTGGAAAGTAGAGAAGAGTTGGGCTTGGGTAGCTCCTGAAACTGCAAGAAAATTACTGCTTCTCTCCTATCAAATTCTACAGCCTTTGTCCTTTCTGGTAAAGGAGTTCATGTTCTCAGGCTGAGGTACTCTACTGTCAGCTTCTATCAAATCCTGGCACAAGGCTGGGTCTTCAAGAGTCTAGAGAGATCCCAAATCTAGATTTATTTATTCTATTTTAGAAGATGAGAATGAAGAGCCTGCACAAATGCTCTTGACTCCCTAAGTACAGGTCAGTGATATGCATGTTATGTCTTATTTTTACATGATTATTCATGTTAGGAGAGGGTTTTCCAAATAGGAATAGGAAAAATTCTAGTCTGTTGGCTGTTGTCATTTCTGACAAGGCAAAACACTTCATGCAGTGACCTCTGGACCCTGTTTCAACCAGGAAAAGCCAGTTAAATGATCCATAAACAAGAATTTAAGAAGACAGATAAGCAAACAGGAATAAACATAGTTTCTGTTTTTGCTCTCTCTACTCCACGCCTCTGCCCACAATTTATTCTCAATATAGCAGCCAGAGTGGTGCTTTAAAAACAGATATCAGATCATGTCTCTCCTTAGCTCAAAACTCTCCCATGGCTTCCTTCTTAGAGAAAAAGCCAAAGTCCTTACACTGGCCTTTGATGTCCTATATGATGAAATACCTCCTACCTCTCTGAACTCATCTTCTGCTTCCCTTCCATCACTCACTGTCCTCCAACCACCCTAACCTTGAACATACCAAGCACATTCCTGCTTTAGGCCTTTGCACCTATTTCTTAAGCCTGGACTATTCTACCCACAAATGTTTTATATAGCTTGTTTCTTCATTCCCTTCAGATCTCTGATTAAATGCATCTTATCAATGAGGTCTTCCCTGACCACCCTATTTAAAATAGTATCTCCCCAACACTACCACCAGCATTCCTTATCTGCCTAACCCTACTTTTTGTTTTTTCTCCACAGCTTCTAAAGTACCTGATGTGCCCTGGCCGGTTTGGCTCAGAGGTTAGAGCATCGGCCTGCGGTCCGGAGAGACCCAGGTTCGGTTCCCGCTAAGGGCATGTGCCTCCGTTGCAGTTTGTCCCCGGCCCTGGTTGGTTGTGCGGGTGGCGACCACTCGATGTATTCCTTTCACATCGATGTTTCTCTCTCTCTCTCTCTCTCCCCCCCCCTCCCACTCTACCTGAACAAAAAATGGAAAAATGTCCTCGGGTGAGGATGATAAAAAAATAAATAAATAAAATAAAGTACCTGATGTACTTTGTATTGACTTGTTTATTTATTTTGTCTTGGCAACTAGAATGTTAGTTCCATTAGGACAGGGACAGTTATTTCTGTTTCCTGCTCTGTCCCCAGTAACTTCACCACTGCCCAGTATATAGTAAAGTACGCATATGATGAATAAATGAGTGAATGAATGAGAAACTGGAATTCAGATTTTCATAAGGACATTCCAGGCAGTTTGTCTGGGCAGGAACTTAAGCTCTCTGTGCTGACAGTCAAAGGAGAATGGATTTGTAAGACTAAATTAACACACCTATAATACAGAATCCTTTTTTGCTGTGATTTTGTTGTTGTTGTTGTTATAATGGGATTCTGCATATATCCGTCACCATGTTAAATCTCATTAATCTTAATTTTTTTTTTGCATAATAGAAATATACAATGTTAAAAATATTGAGTTTTTTAAACTTTCTGTACTTCGTTTTAATCTAAAAATGAGAGATAAAATAGTTTATCTTTAAAAATCTTTCACAATTGCCCTGGCCAGTTTGGCTCAGCGGTTAGAGTGTCAGCCCTCGGAACAATGAATTATGGGTTTAATTCCAGTCAAGGGCACGCACTTTGGTTGTGGTTTGTCCCTGGCCCTGGTCGGGGTCGTGTGGGAGCCAGTTGATGTGTCCCTCTCACATTGATGTTTCTTTCTCTCCCACTCTCTCTCTCTCCCTCCCTCCCACTCTATATGAGGAAAAATGGAAAAATATCCTCAGTTGAGAATTAAAATAAATAATAACAATAAAAATAAAAATCACAATTTACAATTCCATGATTCTTCTCAGAACCTTTATACTGAGGAAAAAAATGTCAGACACACCAAAAAAGAACATAAACTGTATGATTCCATTTATATAAAATGCAAGAACAAGCAAAACTATTTTATAATTACATAAAGAAGACCAGTGGTTGCCTGGTTTCACTGGAGAGGGAACTAAATACAAAGGGGCACAAGGAATGTCTGTATTTGTCAACACTCATTTAAATGTATACTTAAAATGGATAAATTTAATTGTATATAAATTATTCCTCATTAAAAGTTGATTAAAAACAATTTCTATGATTCTGCTGTAACAAGTTAGGAGAATTAAGAATATCATGGTCCTGGCTGGTGTGGCTCAGTTGGGTGGGTGTTGTCCTATGCATCAAAAGGTTGCTGGTTTGATCCCGGTCAGCGTGTGCAGGAGGAAGCCGAATGATGTTTCACTTTCACATCAATGTTTTTCTCTCTCTCCCTCTCCCTTTCTCTCTAAAAATCAATAAAAATATTTTTTTAAAAGAATGTCATGGATAGGAAGTACTCTAAACTTTTAGGAAAAGCTTTATAAATTCAAGAGTAATATTTTAAAATGTAAATAGCTACAAAAGAGCCCAGAGTCGCCACAGTGCTTTAGCAATGGTGGAATACTAAAGGTAACAGTAACATTCCAGAGGCCTTCAAACCCATAAAGAAAATATTTATAAGGGGGAAAAGAATTATCTAAGATGCAGAAGATTTCAAAAGTTACCTCAAAGAGCAGAGCCTGGGCTTTCTGTTCTGGCAGTAAGCGCAGTCCCGCTGTTGCCTTCAACACCACTGGGGTCCTCTTCCAGTGACTTCGGGGGATTGAGTCTTTGGCCACCTCTAAGAGTTCTTGAACAGTCTCAGCACCCTTCAAAAAGAGAAGAGCTAGCCCTGACCAGTTTGGCTCAGCGGTTAGAGCATCGGCCTGCGGTCCGGAGAGACCCGGGTTCGGTTCCCGCTAAGGGCACGTACCTCGGTTGCAGTTTGTCCCCGGCCTTGGTTGGGTTGTATGGGTGGCAACCACTCGATGTGTCCCTTTCATGTCGATGTTTCTCTCTCTCTCCCTCCCACTCTATCTGAACAAAAATATTGAAAAATGTCCTCGGGTGAGGATTAAAAAAAAAAGTTGTTTAAAACAAAAGAGAGACGAGCCATTCATGCAGTGAACAGTCCATATACTTGTGTATATGGAATACTTATATATTCCCTCATCATGCTCTGGAGAGTAACAGGAGTGAGGTAGCACAGGGCTACCTTTTTGCTCTGTAGGAGCAGAAACCTAGAGAAGTGGGCTTCTTTGAAGGAGAATCCATTTCATGTTGGTTAAGTAATAATGAAAATTATTCTTTTACAGTGTGGCCATTTTAATTGATTGCTATTTTGTGTGTTATATAAATGAGCTTCAAGCAAGAAAGTTGAAGCAAGGTAGTGAAGGAAACACAAGATTAGGAGTCAGAAGACTTGCTTGCTAACCCTGTGGCCTAACATAGGGGCTTCCTGGGCTTGGCTTCCGTAGCTGTGAGAGGGGTGATACACCTCATACTACCAAAACTGCTGCGTACATTAGATAAGGCAGACTGTGTGTAGTTTCTACATAAGTGCTCGCTGTAGCTGTTATTACGCTACACTTTTTATGATTTCTATAAGGACAGAGTAAGTCAGGTTCATTTTTGTATCACCAGTACCTACATGCACAGTACACAACAGATGCTCAATTTATGAATTTAAAACCATTATTTTAAATCCTCTTTCCCTGAGTAAACACCTATCCTGACAACATGCTGCCTCTTAATCATTATAATTAATAGCAACCATAACACAATCTTCTCTAAATGTTAAATCAATTTCCAATAATGTAGTTGCTTTAAACAGCTCCTAGTTTTCCAGCACACTTGCCCTTTCAAAACAGTGAGCTGAGAAAATAAACATCCTCCCAGTTCTTCAAGTTCAAACCATTTTTAACATCAGGGTTTCCTTTGGTTAATGATTATGCATGAGAAACTGAACACTACCTTTATATCTGCTATCCAAGTTTAACACTCTGCCTTATTCTATTTTAATGTGGCCTCTGACACTTTGGGTGTTGCATGTTGTGGGTGTTCCAATATGAAACAGTCACAACAAAACTCTCCATTCATCCTCTACTACCAAAGATTGTTTTATCACGTGTTCTTAGAACCTAATTTCTAGAGTATAGGCATGGTTCTGTCCTATATCAAGGTACTCTGAAAGGAGTTTGCTAGGTCTACATGCCCTCAATTGTCATGTTTATAACTCATATCCTATAGAACTTCATGTCCATTTTCTGCAACTACATTAATCAATGCAGCTGATGGTTTCAACTCAAAATCTTAAACAGTAAATATAAATGGAGCAATCTCTTAAAAGAGATCCTAGCCTCTTTCCACCAAAGCCCTAGTGAGCTCAGAGTATATAATTACCATTATCCAGGAGATTAGCAGAGGACAAAAAACTGATCTGACACATAACCTCAGCATCAGTAGTGAACAGCATGAGCTATTTAATAGCAGCAGTGTGGCAGAGTTATCAAGGCACTGAGAATCTTAACATCTCATTGTAATTGTAAAAAAACTCACCTGCTTAGGTTGATCTACAAAAGCAGAAAGTCCTGGCTTCACAGAATCAAAAATTTCCCCTTCCAAAATTGGAAGCTGTCCTATTTTGTCCAGGGATTAAAACAGAAGAGAGATGGCTGATTACCAAAAGTTAGACTGCTTCTGGTACTAGGCTCTATGGCATATGACCTACTAGATTAACCTGCTATTCCCTGAGCTATTCCAGGTAATCTCATCTGTGAGGAATGTCTTGCAGGAGTATCGAGAAGGAGTACAAAGGATAATAGGTAATCCTTGAGAGTCCCTCTATCATTTCTCTGGTGGACACCTAGTTCCTACTCCTTTCTCTAGGCTCTATATGTAAACTGAAGATAGAACACTGGAAATTCAGAAAAAAATTAATCTTCAGGGTCCCCTCATCCCCTTCTCTGAGGAAAGTAGTGATCCTTCTCTCAAGACTACTCCCAATATTCTCAATGTTCTGGACCCCGAAGTATAAACCACCTTTCAAGAAAAGGAAAGACAAATTTCAGCTATACTTCTTGGACACATGGGTTTCAAACTACAGGTAGCCCAGATCTATCTTAATATCAAACTGAATTAAACCATATGTGTTCAATTATAGTCCAAAATGTTCTCTGAAGAAAGATATCAGTAGCTGTAAGATTCTGTAATTCACATCACACACCCCCAGCACATTTGTTTCTGAGAGGAGATGCTAGTATGGATTTATCGACTCTGGTGAGGGTACCAGTAGCACTTACCTGGTACTTTCTGCACAAAGGTGTAAACATGAATTCGCGTTCCAGTGCTCCCTGCGTCAAACATAATTCCATACAAGGTGCTGGCACTGACATTGATGGGGCACATGGAAGACAGGAAGACACCCTCAAACCAAGTCGGCTGGTCTCTGTGGAAGACAGTGCTGCAAACACAGGATGCCACCAACATGAAAAAGGCTGCTCCCCAGGAAGTGGCCATTTTCTTCCCAAGATGTGGTGAGTCTAGGCTTTTGTTGCAGAAGCAGTGCTGCTCAAACACCTGCGGTGGCTTATAGGACAAAGACACACAAGGTTAGATCAACTGGCCTTTCTGTTTACATTGTTAAAGAAGAAACACCCACCACAGAAGTACTATCCCTTTCTCTAAGGTGCGCCTTCTTCTCTATTTCTAATAACCAGCACAACAAGATAGACCGGGGTCACATAGGCTCTTAGGACCTTTTCTGAAGGCTATCTGGTTGCAAAAGGAAATTGGGATTTAAAATATACTTTCCCAGGCTTGGCTTTTAATTGTAGGGTGGATCTCAAATACTCAAAGGCTCTCTCTGACACCTGGCTCCTATTGCTGAGTCTAATTTTCTTCTTTCCATTTTAACAATTTTGTCTTTAGATCATATATTAACCCTCTCTCCCCTCATAACCCTCTCTTTCTTCTTCTTCTTTTTTATTTTTATTTTTTATTTTTTTTTATCCTCACCCAAGGACATTTTTCCATTTTTTTGTTCAGATAGAGCGGGAGGGAGAGAGAGGAAGAGAGAGAGAGAGAAACATCGATGTGAAGGGACACATTGAGTGGCTGCCACCCGCACGACCAACCAGGGCCGGGGACAAACTGCAACCGAGGTACATGCCCTTAGCGGGAACCGAACCCGGGTCTCTCTGTACCGCAGGCCAACGCTCCAACCCCTGAGCCAAACCGGCCAGGGCTCTTTCTTCTTTTTGATATAAGAAGCTTCAGTGTCTGAATTAAAGTTATAAAGTTTCAAAGAAGTTATAAAGTCCCAGCACTGGGGTGTTCATAGCCTTCAAAAATCAAGTCTCTGACTCAGCTGGTGTGATTCAGTGGATTGAGCATAGTCCCAAGGACTAAAAGGTCCCAGTTCTATTCCCAGTCCGGGCACAAGCCTGGGTTTCTGGCTCGATCCCCAGTAGGGGGTGTGTGGGAGACAGCCTATTGATGTTTCTGTCTCACATCAATGTTTCTGATTTCTTTAAAAAAGAAAATAAAAGAGAATCGCCCTGGCCGGTTTAGCTCAGTGGTTGGAATGTCGGCCTGCAGACCAGAGTCACAGGTTCAATTCCAGTCAAGGTCACGTACCTCAGTTGTGGTTCGACCCCGGCCCTGGTCGGGTCATGCAGGAGGCAACCAATCGATGCGTCTCTCTTACGTCGATGTTTCTCTCTCTCCCATTCTCTCTCTCTCCTACTCTATCTGATAATAAATGGAAAAGTATCCTTGGGTGAGGATTATAAAAAAAAAGAAAATCAATAAAAACATAGTAAGATACTAAAAATAACACCAGGTCACTGGACTACCACCTGTGACCAACAATATTGCCAATGGCTTGCACATGCAACCACAGTTTAAGGGAATAATCAATTTAATTTAAAACACTCTAATAGACCATATGGTTTTTAAAATATCTTTCACAGGTTTCAGGCCATGTTACTTGTGCACTGGCTCTGGGGCCTCCCGGGAGGTGCAGGCCAATGTCAGATGCTGCCCGTGTTCTTCCCAGGACCAGCCAGCATGAGCTACAAAGCAATCTGCAGATGGCTGCTACTTGTGCTGGGTTTGGAGGTGCCATGGTGAGGCCAAGCTGTGAACTGAGAACTGGCTGCTGCTAGTGCTGGACCTGGGGCTACTTAGCAAGAGGTATGGGGCATGCTGAGACCAGATTCTGCTTGGTTGAGAGATTTTAGGAAAATCTGAAGCATAAAGCAAAATATGCCACTCTATGAAACAGCCCCTGTGTTAGCTTGGGTAGGCCCACAAATTGGGTGGGGCAGGTATCAGGGAATCACCAGGGTGGGGAAAACTGTGAACCAGGTTGATAGAAAACTCAGATATAGCTCCCACCTGTCGGCTCTGTGGGACGGGGTATCAGATAAGGAACAATGGCCTCTGCCAGCACTTTTGTCTGCTGGAAAAATGTCCCCCAAACCCTCTTCCTGATGCCAGATAATTCAGTTCCTACCTGTATGTCCCTTGTTCCTTTCAAGCTGCTGCCCCTGCACGGGAGCCCAGAGAGAGTAAGTCCAAGTGAGTCCAAGTGTGGCCCTTTAAGAGTGACTGTCTAGGCCCTGGCCGGTTTGGCTCAGCAGTTAGAGCGTTGGCCTGCAGACCAAAGAGTTGCAGGTTCAAATACAGCCAAGGGCACATACCTTGGTTGTGGTTTGGTCCCCGGCCCTGGTTAGGGTCATGCAAGAGGCAACCAATCAATGTGTCTCTCTCGAATCAATGTCTCTCTCTCTCTCTCTCCCTCCTTCCCTCCCACACTATCTGAAAATAAATGAAAAAAATATCCTCAGGTGAGGATTTAGGGAAAAAAAGAGGGACTGTCTGGGACTCCAGAAGTCCTCCATCTTACTCAGTTATAATCTCCACTGGTTTTTACAGCCAGAAGTTATGGAGACCTCTCTTCCTTGTACTGGAACCCTAGGCTGGGGGGCCTGGTATGGAGCTGGGATCTGATGCTTCTCAGGGGGGACCTATGCAGCCAATATATCCCTCCCAATTTTTTTTTTTTAAATTCTCACCAGAGGATATGTTTCCATTTAACCTCAGATAGAATGGGAGGAAGAGAGAGAAAGAGAAAGAAACATCCATGCGAAAGAGACACATCAATTGGTTGCCTCCTGCACAATCCCAACCAGGTCTGCGAATTGAATTGCAACCTAGGTATATGCTCTTGATTGGAACCAAACCTGAGACTCTTTGCTCTGAAGGCTGACGCTCCAACCACTGAGCAAACTGGCCAGGGCTCCCTCCCAATTTATATCCGCCACACATGGTTGTGGGACCAACCTGTTCTACATCTCATCCCTCCTACCAGTCTTAATGTGGCTTCTTCTTTAAATCCCTAGTTGTAGGACTTCTGCTCAGCTAGATTTCAGGTGGTTCTGAATGATGACTGTTCTGTAGTTTAGTTGTAATTCTGATGGCCCAAATAGGTTTTTTTGGGTCTTCTGATCCAGCTTTCATCTGGACTTCACCTTGTGTAAGCCATAGTTACTGGTTAACAAGATCTAATTCCAAAGTCCCCCTGGGATACTGACCGAGGATTTTCCATCATTCTTAAGTTTGTTGATATCCTAGGGTTTCTTTTTATCAAAATGCATTGCTCTTCACAGGTGACATATTACATAAAATAAAAGCAAATTATTAATTATTTAAAATAGAGTTGTTCTGAGGAACTACAAAGGCAGAGTTAGAATTATAAGTTTGAACACTATTCAAGGCTGAACTTCTATCCTGCAGTTAAGAATGGGAGCTATTGGTTAGGAAAGGAAAAATTTTAGGATTTTACACAAAAGAAACTTCATCCCAGGAAATCAACCAATGAAACCAGGGCAGCTGCCTGGCCAGATTCATACTTACATCTTAAATGACTCCCTTTGGCCAATTGTTCTTTTACAGGAAATAAACTGGTCATATAGATCAATCTAAATAACTGAAAACAAAAACCACCTTTAGGATTCTCTGAGCATTAACAGATCCTTGACTTGTCCAGAACTCAAAACATATTCAACACTTTGTCCCCTTTCTCCCTCAGGAAGTGACTCTCCAGTTACCATTCTTCCTCCATCTCTGTGATTAAATGCACAGCAGCATCTTCAGGGCTCATTCATATTTTCTCTATTATTGTGGTTTCTGAAAAACCTCTCCAGTTTCTATTTCTATTAAGCAAACATTTGTTTTTCTTCCAAAAGGAAAAAAAAAATGCATACTAGTTATCCATTTTCACGGAGTGAAAACTGCAGAGTCATGCCAGGTGTTCAGTGTAAAACTAAACAGATTTTTTTTTTAAAGCAATGGGTGAACACATAAAATGCTCCTTTTGCTCTCAACCCCCACCTTCTCACACCACTTCTAATCTCACTGTTCTTTAAGATGAGCTACTTTAAGAATGGTAATGGAAAGGTTTACAATTTAGAGTATATAGAATGGCATCCTATTTATATGATACCAACCTGCACAGCTTGCTCATTTACTTTGTTAGTCTTTGCTCAAATGTCACTAGATTCTCAGTGAGACCTTCCTTGTCCACTCTATTTAAAATTGTAACTCACCTGGTCACACACACATCTTCTACCTTCCTTCCATGTTATGTTTCTCCATAGCACTTCTCACCTTCTAATGCACTATATAATTTACTACTTTGGGTTTTGTTTCCCCCCCCATACTCTGTTCCCCAACCACCACCGCCTGCCCAATGTGAGCTATACATGGGCAGGAATATTTGTCTGTTTTGTTCACTGACATGTTCCTGGTACTGGAACAGAGCTAGCACATAGTAGGTGTTGAATACTCTGAAGGGATGAACACTGATCAATAGCTCAGGGACTAAATCTCACCCATTTAACAAGAATATAACAGCTGACTTCTTTCCAAAAGAAGATTACCTATCCACTGGAAGATCAACATTCCAAAATTCCAAGGAAGGATTATTTCTTCAAATGTGTCAATTATATAAAAGTTTTATATGCTACTGAAAATAATGTACATAGTCAGGTTTACTTTGTATAAACTGGAGAGTATAACAAATCCACTACTTTCAGAGTTGGTCTTCTCAATATATCTTGCTCTCTATCTCCTATTCACCCCCAACAAAGCCCCATCTTCAATTCTTTTCATTGAGATTTTGGTGCCAGCCAGTGTTTGTCACTATGCTTTTCTCCTTCTAAGGTCTTTTTTGGTGTCTCTGTGTCTCTGTAGTAAACACTATTCCTCCCTACTCAGCCTCCCTACAGCTTCACATTCTAGATTCCCTCCTTCCTTGTCACCTAGAGCCCGAGACCCCACAATCCCACAGGACCTGTGCTCCATTTGGGTGCTCACCTGCTCGTGCCTGCCCGTTCCCTTTGAATACTTGCTTTCACCGTTGGTTGCCTTTTGTTCTTTGCTCCTATTTCAGGCCTTCTGAGTCAAGCTAGTTTCATGAACTACATTCACCTTTGCGCTGGTTTGCAACTAACTGTGTGGCATTTTGCTAACTCACTCCCTTCTTTATTCTCCACTCCTCCCTTATCCACCTTTCTTCGTACACAATAGTCTAGTTCATCTATTTTTATGATAGTTAAGTGCCAACTAGTAGATTATTGCTTAAAGGGCAGAAGTTGCTCAGGAACTAAATTCTGTATTGTTTTTACACAGGAGATAAATTACCTACTAATCAATGTATTAAAACATTATTTAATAATGTTATGTTTACAATTATAAATATGTAACTATGTAATACTGTTATTAATTCCTTACTAATTCATGTTTTTACAACATTAGCCCTATAACAGTAAAGAAGTTAATAATACTCCCTGATAGCTCTCATCCTTGAAATTAGTTTAGAAAGTTGGGCATTGAATTATCTAATTAATAAGCATTTACTGAGTGTCAAATATATAACAGATACTAGATACAAAAAGAGGAATCAGATATAGGCTCATTTATTGGGGAGATTTCAGCTTGTTAAAAGAAATTGACAAGTAAATAAACAGCTATAATGTACTATCTAAGTTCTCTGACAGAAATAGGCACAAGGCGTGACAGAAATGGACATAAGGGGCAAGTAACTCATATTAGAAGGGGAAGGATGAAAGTGGGAAGAGAGTGGTAGGTTTCTTAAGAAATGAGAGGCCTGCCCTGGCCGGTTTGGCTCAGTGGTTGGAGCCACGGCCTGCGGACCAGAGTGTCCTGGGTTTGGTTCCCGCTAAGGGCACGTACCAAAAAAAGAAAAGAAATGAGAGGCCTGCTCTGGCCGGTTTGGCTCAGCGGTTAGAGCGTCGGCCTGCGATCCGGAGAGACCCGGGTTCGGTTCCTGCTAAGCGCACATACCTCAGTTGCAGTTTGTCTCTGGCACTGGTTGGTCGTGTGGGTGGCAACCATTCCCTCTCACGTCGATGTTTCTCTCTCCCTCTCTCCCTCCCACTCTATCTGAACAAAATATCGAAAAATGTCCTCGGGTGAGGATAAAAAAAATAAAAATAAGAAAGAAATGAGAGGCCTACACTAAGTCCTGAAGCAGAGGCAGAAATTAACCTGGTGAAGTGACACAAAAAGAATTCTGAGAACTTCAAGTATTAAGAGTTCAGTATGGCTGGAATATAAAGGTGCACCAGAATAAAGAGGGCAAGTGTGAGAAAGGATGGTTCTGGAGGTACTTAAAACAGATTTCAACATGAGTAGACTTGTTTTTCTTACATGTACAACCAGTGACACCTGTTATTTATGTTTATATCTTCCCTAAGCAAATATCAATATTGATTGACTTAAATTAAATGACACAGTATTTCCCAACAGTGAAAAATAATGAAATGGGAAAGATGACTACAAAGGTCCACCCAAAAGTCTGAAAACAGTGAAATGTAAAAGTACCCACTGCCAATTCTTCTGAGCTCCACAGTAAAGTTGGCTTTAACAAAGTTTAAAATTATTATTACTATTATTTTTTTTATTCCTCACATGAAGATATTTTTCCATTTATCATCAGACAGAATGGGAGGGAGAGAGAGAGAGCGAGAAACAGAGAGAAACATCGATGTGATAGAGCCACATCGACTGGTTGCCTCCTGCATGACCCAACCAGGGCTGGGGATGAACCGCAACTGAGGTACGTGCCCTTGATCAAAATTGAACCCCTGACTCATTGGTCTGCGGGCCAACACTTTAACCGCTGAGCCAAACCAGCCAGGGGCCAAGTTAAAAATTAAACACAAAGTTTAAAATGTAACTAGAATGAAAACTTTTAAACAATAAGCTGAACTGTGGGAATGGATTAGTCAAACCACTAGAACATAAGGTAGACAAGCAAAGCAAAATCAAGGTAAGTCTAGTAAGGCAAGTCTGTGACAGATTTCAGCACAGTGAGCAATGCCTCACTTGGGGATATAAATTGGGACCTACATACCCAATACAAATGGCAAGAACCCAGGAACACCTTGCTATCTATCTGAAGGGTATCTAAGGTGAAAGTACATGGTATCTTTTGTATTTCTCAAGCCAAATACCAAGACTGGAACATAGCAGACATCAGTAAATGTGTTCTGAATGGACTTCGTACAACTGGGCTAATGGTATCTGCTGGAACACTGGAGCAGAGAGTACCCACTTCCCCAGTGTCTTACTATGGTAATGTATATCACATCCTCAAATCCTTATTACCCTCCACCCCAGCCCATGGAAAGGAGTGCCACTCCAGGAAGCCTATTCACTCACATATTAATTCATTCATTTAGCCATTCTAGAACTTATCAGTTACCTAATGCTAGTCACAAGTACAGCACACTAAGATGAACCAGCCATCTTAGACCTGCTCTTTAAGAGACTAAACAGAAATAAAAATACATGTTGACTAATTACCTCTGTAAAGTTAAAATGTGACAAGCAACAGATACCATGTTCTGAGACTTCAAAGCAGGGAGAGATTACTTCCAGCTGGGATGCAGAGAAGGCTTTGTGAAAGATGTGGCATTTGAGGAGTGTCCTGAGGAGGGGACTTAGCACAGGAGAGGAGTGATTTTCAGGAAAAAGAAACAATATGAATCAAGATATGGATGAAAAAAAGGGATGGGAGGCCCTGGGGAATAGTAAAGGGATCAGGTTGACTGACTGTAGTAGGAAATAAAGCTGGAAAGGCAAACTGAGGTCAGATACTCAGCTCAGGAGGGAGGAAGGGAGGGAAGGCAGGGAAAGAGAGAGAGAAAAAAGAGAGAAGGAGAGAGAGGAGCATCAATTATTGTTCCACTCATTTATGCATTCACTGGTTGATTCTTGTATGTGCTCTGACAGGGGATTGAACCTGCAACCTTGGCATATAGGAGTGATGCTCTAAACAACTGAGCTACCTGGCCAGGGCTTGGCTAAAGAGTTTTAAACTTTACTCTTCAGGCAATGAGAAACCACTGGAGATTTTGAGCAAGAGAGTGTTACAAATACAAATCTAACTGTTACATGAAAGAAGGATTGGGGTGGAGAGTCTTGGAAAGCTCCATTCAATTGTTTAATTCTACAAATGTTTGCTGATGCCTATTAAGTACTAGGTACTAGAGAATTAAAGGTGAATAAACAGACATTTTTATTCAAGATACTCAGAGTTTGGCAGAAGTGACAGTTGTATAAATAACCACACCTTTTTAAGTTAATCAGAAAAATGCTAAAGGAGCCCAAAGCACGGGACTTACCTCTATCCAGAGGACTAGGAAAGGCATCATGAGATGACATTTGAACTCATAATGAAAAATGAATAGCAGTAACTATATACATAATAGACACAGGTGGACAAAATCCAGAGTGACTATAAAAAAAAATGAAAACAGATAGTAGGGAAATTATGGATAGTCTGACTTCATCTTTAAATTTCCTCAAGAATTTCTGTCACATGGATTTGAGAAACCCAGTGAAAAGAAACGAAGTAGACCATAATGGAGGAGGGTTAGCATTTAATGCAAAGGAAAGACT